CCCCTTACCCTCCCACCACCACCCCTCCCTCCCTAGCAGATAAGGCTCTGTTCTCACCATACTCCCCCCTTGCACTCCACATCACTTGCAATAATTATAAACAAAATAGCTTTGAGTCCTTAAAGAGATTGCATTGATTCCCTTTAACAATGGTGTACATAGAGTATATTAATATGGAAGATAAAACAGCAATTTGATAGGAACATGACAATTTTGTACAGAGGGGAATGGACAGGTGTTTGGTCAGACTAGAGATTAGTGCAATAACAGCGGACACTTGACCAAAGGTCAGCATGATCATCCTACTAATCTCCTGGTCAGTTATTATCCCTTCAACACTCTTTGTAAACAAACCTATGCTTGTATCACTTAGGCCTTATCTGGGGTTTACAATTTAACCTCTCCCTCCCTGTCCAACCACCCTACTCCCACCCCTCTCCATGTCTACCACACACACCTACCATTCCTTTCTCTCCTTACCATCTTGCTCACACACATATGCACAATTTTTACTGCATACCTGGAACTTTTATTTATCATGTAAACAAAATGGCTGATAGGAAATGTTCTATTGTAAGCATCCTTTAGCACTTAATCCACACCACAATGCTACTACCTACCACAATGCTACTACCTACCACAATGCTACGATGTTCCACAATGCTACTACCTCCCACAATCCTACTACCTACCACAATGCTACTACCTACCACAATGCTACTACCTACCACAATGCTACTACCTCCCACAATGCTACTACCTACCACAATGCTACTATCTACCACAATGCTACTATCTACCACAATGCTACTCCCTACCACAATGCTACTACCTACCACAATGCTACTACCTACCACAAGGCTACTAGCTACCTACCACAATGCTACTATCTACCACAATGATACTACCTACCACAATGCTACGATGTTCCACAATGCTACTACCTACCACAATGCTACGACGTACCACAATGCTTCTACCTACCACAATGCTACGGTGTACCACAATGCAGGAACTGTATGATTTATTGTGTAAATAGAATAATGTAGGTAATCCTATAATGAAGGCAGCCTCGATTTGAATAAACATTTAGATAATAAACAACATCTCTCGTAAATAAAAATATAAAATGTATAAGTTCACTGTGTAAACAAATTCATATAATCTGTCCTGGATGACATGTGCCGGAAACTTAACGATCATGGTGATGGAGTACAAGATATATATGTACATACCAGCAATGTTGTTTAATTTTAGGATAGAAAAGTTCGATAAATCTTATTATCTGGCCATTCATTTGTCTATTTTGATGACCTTTGAACCCTAAACTGCTCATTTAACCCTTTCACCCCTATGTAACTTGAGTGAACTCTACCATGCATTTATTTGGAAGAGTCCATTATGGTATACGGTTGTGAAAGGATTAATGTATTCAGATTATTAATTTGAAATTTATCACCAATACAGATTCTGTACACATCTAAAATTTACATGAAAAGATTACTTCTAATTTCCTGTATAGATACAGGAGATACAAAAACTATTCAGGTATAATTTCCTGTAGGATACACAAATTATAAATAAAATTACAGGTCATATACAATCCTTAGCACCTAAAAAACCATAAAAAAATGTTAATCAATCTTCATAGATTTTAACTAACCTTGACTGCTGTTCTCTAGTTTGAATTAATGATTATGGAACCGGACTATTTCCAGGTTTGTAAATAAATATAAAATCTAGTTATTCTATATGTCATGTAGAAAATACATTTGATACAAGATAATTGATCCAGATTCGAAGTGGCTAGACTTTTAACATGACTGAAAGTAATTGAAATATACCCGTTGGCTATCGCCTACTTTGGTGGGTGTGTATATACATGTACAAGGTAGGTGTTGTAGCTTCAATATCGGTTGTGGAGAGTGGACGGTATAATGGACAAAGGTTCATGTAGAGTTGTATACACATCAATTGTTGATCTTTGCCCTGTAAATTAAACATTGACAGTGGAATACATTTATTTGAGTGGACTTGATAGAGTGTTGATCTGATAGGCAGGGGAACTATTTGTCGAAGAATGGTTCCTGTATGTGGCGTAACCCCGGGTCATACAAAACCTTTTGGCAAACTTAACATACTAATAACTATCAAAGGATGTTGAGGTCCTGAGCTATTATTAATAAAGAAAAGTCTGTTCAGGGCATAATTATCATAAATAGAAAATAAACTTGAGTTCTGTTTGGGACAGGATGTGGAGGTATTGATATTGCTGTTCTTACATTGGGAAGTAGGGACATTGCATTGCTATGAATTGTTTGCGATATTTTCATAACCAAGATCGGTAGACAGAGGTCCAATTCACCAGATTGGTTTGCACAACAGGCTATTTTATGAAATATTTGCAAAACAAATTGATTTCTGATGCACAAATACATTAGTTATGAGTTGAAACTTAAAGTTCAGGTTTGTTTTTACAAAGAAAATTATTTGATGTTTAAAGCATGCATTTCTATAATTAGTAAATTTTCTTTCTAGATATAAGTGTGTTTGATATTTTTGGTTTGCAAGTTAAATAAACAATTATAATTGATCACTAAGCAGTTTTTAATTGGTTATACTGTCATTGTAAATGTCATTTTCTGATATTGGACTTCTTTTAACCCTGATTTTATTTTTTTCAGACCTGGACTCGACGTTCTTCAGTACTACCCAGGCCCTGGACCTAAGCAGCAGTAAAACGCCCAGTCTGTCCACAATAGCTACAAGCCAGTCGATCTCACCACTCAAGTCCGAGCCCCTTGAGTTTGCTGACCCAATGCTCACCACGGTAACGACCATGACGACCCGAACCTCGACGACAACCCGGCAACCAACGATTATACTTGCAACCACATCCTCATCGGCGTCGAAGATCCAGTATACAAGTGATTCAGCGACGCCATTCATCACACAGGCAGCTCAGTCAGTACTTGCACCCACGGTCACCATCAAAGCTGAGCCATTTGAACTTCTTGACAACCAGATGGAGCAGACAGGTATAGGTCATCTCATTATGTCAAAATTGAGCGTACCATGAACAAATTTGAAACAAACCTTATTTCAGAATCCTAATTATTTCAGAGTATTGGTTTGTAATCAAATCAAAAATCAAAAATATGTTGACTTGATAGTTGGTTTATTGTATAATATAAAGAATTTTTCGATGTTGAAATGTTTTCTCATTTATAAAGAAAACAATAAAATTTTGATTATGAAACATTGTTTATTTTGTTTATTTCATTTCTTTCATGGTTTTATTTGAAAATGTGAATTGTTAGTTAACAAATGTTGTTGATTCCTTTTTCCAGTGAACATGGAATCCCTGATGCTGCCACCAACGCCACCTAGCAGCGCATCTAGCGACAGTGACGGCAGTCTTAGTCCGTCACGCTCAGCACCCTCTAGTCCGATCCGCCAGCTGCCATATGGCAGACATTCTTCACCATCATCCAAAACATTCTCCCAGCCCATTTTTACTAACCCTGTAAGTACACATATTGATTGTTATATATTTGATTTTAAACAACAAGCGTTAGATATTGTTAATTTAGAAATATTTTCACCAATTCTCTAATGTTCCGTTAACGAAAGTGCTAATTCAACCTGAAGATAAATGTTTTTAGAGAAATGGAAAAAAACTTGATTAAAGGTTATAATGTCCTAAATGTTTTTTTCGGTGCAAGTTGGTTACAAAAATGATTTGCTTATGTTTACAGATTCCCCAGTCAGGAGTTTTATTACTATCAGAAGAAGAGAAGAGAACTCTTGTATCGGAAGGCTACCCAATACCAGGGAAACTTCCCCTCACAAAACAAGAAGAAAAAAATTTAAAGAAAATCAGACGGAAAATTAAAAATAAAGTAAGAAATGTTATGAACACTGTTCTGTTCCTCCAAAAATATTTTTTAATAAAACCAAACAAGATTTTTTGAAAAAGAAGGGTCATGTTCTTGATTTTGTGTATGAAATAATAATTATGTTTGATTATCAAAAAGATTCTTAACTACAGTACTAATAATTCATATTTTTGTTTGTTTCAGATTTCAGCACAAGAAAGCAGACGCAAGAAAAAAGAATATTTAGAGCAGCTTGAAAAACGAGTTGAATCATTTTCTCAGGAAAATAATGATCTGAAAAAGAAAGTCAATTCACTGGAACATAATAACCAGTCATTGCTGGGCCAGCTACATAAACTACAGTCACTGGTCGGCAAGGTGACGCGCCCGGCAACCTCCCAGCCTGGAGGCACAGTATTGATGGTAAGAGTTACACCAAGGGAGACAACTAACACTTTAACCCCCTGCATGTTTGTTGGTAAAATACTGAGTTGAAATGCAACCAATCAAGCACCATAATCACAAATCTGCTAAACTTAAAGAATGTCCTCGAATCTTAAAATCAGATTCAGAGACCAAAACTCCTTATATGTTAATTGTGAAATATTTATTAAATTTCGAGGACAATGAAGATTTGTGAAATATTGCAATTGAGAACATTCTTTGAGTTAAGAGGTTCCAGTGACAGTGTTTCTGATTGGTTATATTTCAATTCCTATGGAAGAAAAATTTTGAGTTGACATTTGATAAAAAAGATAGAACAGAAAATTGGTTCTGTCTGGTATAATGTCAACCCAGATTTTTTCATTGTTGTAGTAATAAGATCATTATCGAGCACATTTGGTGATTTTTTTTTGTTCCTGTACCTAAAGTTATAACGGTGTACTTAAAAAGACCCTCAAATGATGACAGTCGTAAATGAGTTTCTACATATGAGCTGTAAATGTATCGCAACTTTCTCTATATTTATTCACATGAAATAAAAACAAAAGGAGATGATAAAAATGTTATAAAGATCTATTGGCTTTCATAGTCATAAACATTCTACACATTCTCAAGTCAGCAATCTGTTGTAAGCAAATTAAACACATTTTTGTCTGCAAAGTATATCATATAATGGAAACAAAATTAATGATGACTATGGGATAAAGACTTTAGAAGGAGAACACAAAAGTGTTCATGTTGCATAAATGATTAAATATTTTTTTTTGCATTCCTTGGTAGGATTTTTTTGGAAGATTGTAATTGCTTGTTTAGGATAAGAAGAGTTCTTATGAAAAGACTGTAAGACAATTTTTTTTTAAAGTGGATAGGACTTCTGATGTTTTGGCTAAATGCTTGCATGTTTGTTTTTGGCAGGTGTTGGTACTATGTTTCGCGGTGTTCCTTGGTGGATGGAACCCGTCCTCTTTTAATGTGGGTTATTCTTCTGGTTCTCGTGCCATGCATACAGCGGCTTTCTTTGGTAATCCTCGCATGATGCAGCCATCCCCCCGGATGGGTCCACCCTTGCAGGATGCCAAGGTGGATGCTTACTCAACTCCAAATAGTAAGTGTCAACCGTATGGCATGGAAATGGTGTTTGTTCTATGACGTCTTGGGACAAGACTTGATTGAGGAGATCAAATTGATTGACCTTTTAAAATTGAACAACAGAAAAAAGTAGACTCCATCTCCATCGATTTTCATTACTGTATTTATCCTACATTAAGCCTGGTGGGAGGGGGAAAGGGGGGGNGCTTATTACAGGACGCAAATAGCATTTCATGGCATTTCTACAGAACTGCCTTAGAAATGCGTTGGCTTATAGCTAGGCATGGGCTTATTATCGGATAAATATAGTAATACACATCTTGTTTTGGTTAAAGCTTGCCGAGAAAAAAAATTGTGGGTTAAAATATTTTCATAGATGGTTAGCATACTTTACTTGACTAATGAATTCTTTCTTTGTTTTCAGTGAAATCAAGAGTGCTATTATCTTTGCGAGAAGAAAACGAAGATACAACATGGTATGAACCGTATGCTCCGTATGCCATGCGTGACCATGAGCCGTCTGAGGAAATGCCTGCTGACTACAAGGACACCATGGTGACCAACCCGGCACTCGTGGACATGACGTCCGGCGAAGATTCAAAGGTTGTGGAGCTAGTTACTGTGGATCAACGCGTCCACCAACCAAACAACACTGAAAAGGGCCAGGAACAAGCCCTGCTCCATCCTGACATCCAAGCTACAGCAGGGTTCCACTCTCAGGTGGAAAACATTGTGGAAACTGCCTAAACAATGGAACACAGCCTAAAAAGTGGAAACAGTCCTAAAAATGGAATCCGACTTGAGGGCCTATTCAAGTAAAACTGGCTAAAAAAGAAATGCTAAAAGTTTGCAAATCGAAATTAAATATGGATTCGATATGCTGAATGCTATGAGATTTTAATAGGCACTTACCCAAGAGCCGCAGGAGAACCGATGTGTAGTTATGTGAAGGACGTTGTTAAACGCTGTTGGACGTTGTCGAGGGGAAATTTGTAAAAATTACTAGTGCTTCTCTTTTTAAGATGATGATGATGACTGGGAATACTAGAGAATATCATTGCTTCTTAAAGAGTGTGTCTCTTTTGGTGTACATACAAAATAGTTCTTTAAAAGAATGTGGACTCAATGTTATTATTAAATATTATCATTATTCAGCAACTGAAAATGAAATTTTCAGCTTGCTTATTTTTATTATCATTAGTCAATTTGGGAACTTTTAATTCGAGTTGATGGACCAATATTGACACATACACATACTTTATCGCCCATTTCCTTAACCTAAGCATGCAAATCGTAGAATTGGTCATGTTTTCTTGTCTAGACCCTTTAAATTACATGGTTCTGTTTTCTTCTGCAGTTCCCCGATCTCTTTCCTGATCATCATATTCATTGTCTCGTTCATTGTTGTGTCACTTACAAAGAATTTTGTCCCAGTGGAACCTGATAGTACACAGAACTTTGTCTGTACTTTGTCCCAGTGGAACCTGATAGTACACAAGTCATATAGGAAAAATTGTCCAGTTTTTTTGTCTCATACTTTTTTTTTATATAAAAATATAAGAAAAAAAATAAAAAATTTGATATATTTGTTAATCATTTTTTATGAAGATGCCTAAATGATGCACCTTGATAACAAGTTTGATGAAGAACAGGAATGTCTTCAAATCTGTAAAAGTAATATTTAGTGGTGCTTCAAGACCAGCCATTGTGAAGTCCATGAATGTTAACATGAATCTCGATTCGTTCCATAAAATGCCTCATACAAGATTCTAGTAGTACTAACTTATAAAGTGCATAAAAAATGGGAAATTTGACATTTTCATATCATAATTTAACTGAATCACAAAGGGTTTCTCCCTGTTAATAAGGTAAAATTTAATATGCATTTGATTTACACAAAAAAAAAATCGTTTCTTGTAAAACATGATATTTTCTAAAATAACAGGTGCCCAGAGTTTTTCACACTTAAATTGGTCAGTATATTAAGATTTTCTTGGTAGAAATCTAATGCTAGATAAATGTCCAGCTGTGCTATTTACTGTTCGCATGCTAATTCAAAAGTTGCTGTTCGGTTAAATATATATAACCACGTTGTTTTCTCGTGATGATCTTATCTGTGTTTGTTCGTGTAAAATTCAGAAGTTTTCTGTTGAGGTTGTAGCTACGTTATTTAATTATTAAATATTTGAAAAAACACCTTTTTCCTGTAAAGAGTATAAAAAAGTAGTTCAGACGGGTGCCACTACTGTCATGCTTTATTTTTATTGTTAAAACAATTTGAATAAAAGATGGAATTTCAGTTCCATATTTTTTTGTTAAAGAAGTTGTATTTTTAACGTCTACCTGACCAAGTTATATGCTTGGATTATTTTTGTTACAAGAGGATTTGTTTGAATAATCCTTTTATTTTCTGTTAAAATTGGATATTTTAATCTTGTTGACGGAGGTGTTTTTGTGGAGGAGGCTGTGATACGACAGTTGTTATTATTGGTGTAACTGAAATTTTTATGAAAGATACGGAAAGCTGGAATGAAATTTAGCCTAATACAGATCATTTTCAACATAAGTCAGTACCCCTTTATGTGCCCCCGCATCAATACCTAGAGAATTTTTCTGAATTTTGTTTTGTTTATTCCTTGCAAATAAGTAGTTTGCAAGTGATTGTGTTTGTTTATTGTTTTAGAATTAAGTTGTACGTTTTCAATAACTGCAGATTTATTTGTTTTTGAAATTTATTTTAGAATCCATGAAAGGAATTTGTGGATTTCTTGGCAAGTCGGCAAGAGTGCATTTCATGTGACGAAGATGTTTGTAGAGTATTCATCTACCCGCACCTCTCATTCATTTATTTATTCATGTAGTTGTAGTTTTAAATCCCCATATGGTCACCACTAGTCAACTCTGTACATAAATTGCAATATCACTGGCTGTAACATGTAACACATAAAATAGGACAATAGCTAAACTTAAACTTTCCTCTACATCCAGAAATGTTTCCATATATTTTTTGAGGAATCTTTTCATCATCAATCACGGTATCTATATTTGATCATTGTTAATATATTAGATGGGTTGCATGTTACAGACAGTGATGACTGCTTTGAGGCTGTTATTGCTATTCAGGTTTCTGATTTAAATGAAAACCTTAGCTACTTTGGTTGTGGGTTAAAACCATGATATAAGCCAAATTTTTTAATGTTATTATTTTACCAAGGAAGATTCTCCTTGGGAAACAGTGGGGCATAATTGTAAATAAATAAAACACAATCATGTGAACTAAGAATAAAATAATATATTGCTATATATATCATTAAAGACTCAAGAAATAAAAGGAATTTGTTTTTGTGTTATTATTTCCATTTTATTTGAGGAAAATATTGAAAACTGAAAAATGGTTAGCAATGATGATGCACCAAGTGAAGGCAAATAAGAACTCAAGTACTCAAGTAATGAAGTTTCTTGAAGAAACAGGGCCTGCATATCGTAACCATTCGAAATGAGTGAAATTTGACTTTGAACAACTGACGTGTGTGAGACCAGTTTTTGTTTTGAAAAATTGTGATATGTCTTTTAAGACCACCAATTTCAAATTTAGAGGTATACATATTTAGAATGTTGTTCAAAATGATCTGAGTATATCAACATATACAAACACGCATGGTATTTAAAACAACAAGAAATAGAGATTATGTTGGATAACAACAGAATGATTTTAAATATCTGGTTTAGTTCTACACCACACATCCTCGAGGATGGACACCACACATCGACCAAATTTTTGGACAGTTATATCTTCCACAGTCGAGGGGAGATAACACGTTCTTGTTTTTTTGCCGGAAGCTGCCATATATACATTTTGATTAATACGCTTCCTGGCAGAAGTCCCGATCCAAACCCAGTTCAAACGATTTTGATGGGACAACGATGACGGTGTAGTATTTGACGGTGCATTACATTAGGTCAACACTGCATATAACACCACTACAGGTGACTTAGGTCTAATCCCACCGAAGGAAAAGCTCGTTTCAAACTATTCCTAGCGTTTTTATAATATTAAGGCCTAACGTTAAGCAAAATCATATTCGATTACATTTTTACCGCACTAAAATAATGACAATTAAATTTAATGCAAAAATTGAAAAACGTAAACATTTGATAACATCGGATACGTATACCATTGATATTCAAAATATTTCTGGTTGTTAAAGACATAAAACACTATTTAAAACATCATACCTTTTTTTCAAACTGACACCATTTCCGTGTATTTTAAGATATGCAGATATTTTCCAGGCGTAAAAGACGCAATAACTAATTTACCTGACTTTGAGGAATATCTGCGTGATCAACAGCTTTTTTTCAAAGTAAACCATCAGTTTGAAGCAGTTTTCGGAAATGTGTGTTGTTTCCCACCAGTTTGAGAATTTAATTATTACCAGATACAACGAACATACATGAGACTCGCACATCACTAGACCTTGTCAGCAAGTTCGGGAAAACGAGCCTGTGATATGCGAGTGCATGGTAGACCGGAGACAGGCCGGTTTTTACCGTCTCATTCGGATCAGGAAGTGAGGAATGAGAAATGGTTTTCAGTCCTACGGTCTACGGCGACCTCCATATCCATTATAAAACCATGCTGTGTTTGTTTGATACCTACGTTAGTAGCATATTGTACTACTCTTGTGAAGTGTGGGGTTCGACCAAAGGGTTGGACATTGAAAATGTACATTTAATTTTTTGTAATAGGTTACTTAAAGATAAACAATCTACAAATAATGTAATGGTATACTGGGAACTTGGTCGTTTCCCTTTAGAATAAACTGCTCGACACGAAATAATGTATTTTGAATACTGCATATGATTTTTTTTATTAAAGAAAAGCACCGGTGTTTGTTTCAAGTGGGTACACTATGTAAAAAAGTTGCTATGTACTCTTGGTTTCGGTGAAGTATGGCTTAGCCAATCACCATCGAACGCTAAATCCATTTTACCTTGTATACGTCAAAGAATGTTTGACCAAGCTCAACAATATTTGAGAGGTTTATTAGAGAATTCTTCGAAATGTTTTTTATATAAGCATATTGTATACCATTTTTCCATTTAGTGTTATTTAACTAAGTACATGCCTAAGAAATATAGAATATGTTTAGCAAAACTTCGTATGTCTGCACATTCTTTGGCAATTGAACCGGCTGTTATAGAAATATCGAGCGGATAGGAGATATTGTGCAATTTGTAAGTCGACTACTGAAGTAAAAGACGAATATCATTTTTTATTGAAATGTAATATGTACAACGACTTAAGAAGTCAATATATCAAAAAATACGTTTGGCAAAAACCTTCAATGCTTTAATTAATTCAGTTATTGTGTGTCAATAACGACAAGGAATTAAGCCGTCTCGTCAAATTTATTTTTGAAGCAAATAAGATAAGAGCTGTTATTTCTTTAACTCGTACTCCACTTTTGTCTTGCTGTTTCACATCCTTATCATGTATTGTATGTTATATGCAATATGTACTCATGGGCCGTAAGGCATGCAGTCAATAAATTGAATTGAATTGGAAACAAAATATCCAAATTACGTATTTTCTATATTTAAAATTAAGCAAAAGAGCGTGTTCATCCTATTAGAGACTTTGCTATCGTTCCTGCTGTTAACATTTGTATAATTGTCTTTGGCCCTGCTATAGAGATTTCACGTTTTCTCCACATAAAAGTTATTGTTGACGTCATTCGAATAAGAAACAATAAATCAAAAGCGTAAAAAACGTATTCAGAAAAAAGCCGTTTGCACTTTTTGTGTTTCGTCACTAGAAGTATGGTCAAAGTGGATCACCAAACCATCATCTTATTCACTCATTAAAAATTCAAAGGATAAGTTACATTTTCTTCAATAAGATTCATCAGTTTTGAAATATGGAATATCAAAGTTTTACTTTATAAACAAACAATGTATGTATATCCCGGGAAACGGTGCGGCGCGACAACATAAAATTAAATACTTATCATATTTCTAAACATGGAAAACTATATGTTGAAACAAATATCTAAGGGAATAAACGTCTCAACTTTGTCAGAAATTGTCAAAACTTTTTTTAAATAAAGAAATGATTTTTCTAAATGCCGTCAATTTTATGGTGAAATGTTGAAATATTCCAAGTGAATCTGACTCACTTTTATGAGCTCTATAAATAGACACACACGCGCGCTGTTAATACACAAGAAATACATAAAATGAAAGCTAAAGGCATGTACTGTTTCATTTCAGTAAAAAATAGGTCTGTCAAAAACTTTAAATAAATGTTTTCCAACAAGTGTCCCGTTTTGGATACTGTCCTGATAAACATATTTAAAGTAAACGGAACAGAGTCCCATTTAGATTTGGTACGTTTGAGGAAATCGGAGTCGTTAAGTTTTTGCGGGAAACAATAAATTAATGAACGATAAATTCTTGATCAACGCACAAACTTGTATCGTCCATTATTACGCAGCAAGAACGGGAATGGTACTATTTACATACCTTCGTTGAAACCCCCTTCTTTGCTTAGGTATTTATGGAATAAAAACTTATGAAAATATTTTACTCATGACAAACCTTATGTTGAAATGGTTGTCCAAATCGAACTCGCCCATCACGTGGCATTTGAACACGTGACTACATTGTTCTATGTCACGTGAGTTTTCGCGGCGCTAAGTTACGAAGTATATGGTGGAATTAGAAAAGCACAATGGATAGTAGCGTTCCTTAAAAAAATGTTTTCGGACGGTAAGTTGCTTACGTAATTATTAATATGATTATATTGTAAATAGGATACCTAAGTATATGCGTGTGCTGCCACCATTTCTACTTAATCTCCGACTTTTGAAACAGTTGTTCAAACGGTGATTAAGTTAAATTGACCACTGTTTAATGACATTATTCAACGTCAAATAATTCCGTCATTGTACTGTGTAAAATCTTTATATTTTGCATGTAACTTACTTGTGCAATTTATTTACTGCCAAGAAAGTTTTAAATCGAGATGAAATAGTTTTATGGCACTGTCAACCTTTCGACAACCGGGCCCTGTTTTGAAATGGTTTCCCCTTGTTAAATTCAATTTAAAAGTTACTCTAGATTATAGTTCTATATTCGTTTTACTATATCTGAATAAATTTATTAGTTTTTATGTTTCATACCAGATTATGCATAGGTACTAGATTTGCTAAGACCTGTTGGGCTACAAGTTGCAGGGAAACTCCTGGAATTTAAGAGCAGTGGGCAACTTTTAGTCAATGTCAAACATAAGAGGGGCCATTTTATGTAAAATTAAAAGAAAATTAGAACATCGAGGGGTCCATTTCAGACTAGTAGGCCTACCTGTGACTGTATTATTTTATCACTGTCTGCACTCTTTTCACTTCCAGATATCGGCAAATTCAAGAAAATTCTTAAAGAGGATGATGATATCTTAAAGGTAAATATTAAGTTGTAACTTTGTGATTGGTAATTTATTATTTTACACACATCTTTTGACATAACACAATGATATAGTATGTACACAAACATATACACAAACACATATTTACTCTGTGCATATTAATTTTTGCCAAGTTATAAAGTAATCATTTATTATAGTGTCTCGCTCTATTTTTGTAGCCTTACGTTCCCAGCCGGAAAGTAAAAAGAGAATTGAACAAAATCTCTGGCAGACTCAAAGATTGCAGTAAGTCTTTGCTTAAAGTCTGTTTTTACTTGATAATGTGCTGACTGCTATACTAAATACATGTATATATGGTATACTTAAGTTGTGCATCAAGTTATACTGAAATTGATGTTATTCATTCTTAAGTGTTCAAATAAATGTATATAATTTTTGTACTATAAGTTAGATACTTAATGGTACCAAAATTATCCACAAAATATATAATACAAAAAAAAATTGAAGTTGGAGTTTTAAGTTTTCTAATGTCTTCATATTGTACTGCTATTTTTAAAATTTATACTGACATTGTTAAAATGTATACCGTTGCTATTAAAATTCATGAATTATTTTATTTTGTTCAATGAAACTACAGTGTGTATGCAGTACCTATTAAACTGAATAATATTACCTGGCTTTTCCTTAATCTTTTGATGTATTAATACCGATATATGATTTAATAGTTTGTCATTATGCTGTTTTGTTTGCAGTGTATGATGACTACAGGCAAAGAATGGACACTCCCAGGGTAAGAACACGAAATATATACCGTAATTGTAACTCACTGGAAATTACAATATTGACTAAAGAGTTATATTTACATTTGCATGGCATTGTCACTATAATGCCTCTTTGAAAGCGGTGTCGTTGATGGGACTTTTAATAACCATGCATCATGAGACAAAATTCTTAGCGTATTTATCCAATATAAATATACATGACGGCTGCTGAAATATCGCTGGGCATTGTGAGATTTGACAATGTCATTGTAAATTTATGTGCAAAATAAAAAATAAAATAAAAAACTCTTTTATTACAACGAAAACAAGACCAAGGTCTGCAATATCGTACAAAATGCACATCGGTTGAAATCACCAATGCCGGCAATGGAAACAATTTTAACGCTTCATGCAATTTATCAGAAATATCGTCTGTTACACTGCACTGATCAACCGGTGTTCGTTACAAATGTCTGAAATACACATTGTATAGACCTACTGACACATATGTTACAGACCTACTGATATGAGTCACAGCACACATAAACATTTCAGACATTTTGTAACGAACCTGTGCTCCGTCGCAAGATCACTCACTTCAAACGCTATCAGTTTCACGCGTCTCGCATCCACGGGTCCTGATTTCTGACGACATGTCAAATAACGACGCCGTTATAGAATCTACCGACTGTTGTCAGGTTCCCATACAATCAACAAATAAATTCAAGCCTGGATTCTTCACAAAATGAGCGAAGAAAAAAGTTCGAATTAACTTCCAAAAATAACTCCCTCTTGGAGGGCAAGGTCGGATTTACGGTGTTCACTGTATTTGTCCATGCGCGAAATTTGTTCCGGGGGAAATTTCAAGTCTAACTTTCAGCTCAGAGTTCTATTGATGGTTGAATACCATACAAAAGCAGTTCAATGCTTAATTGAATGGGTGCATGTTTCTTATGATAAATGATTATTTGACTGTATTTTATGGTTTCTAGGCCAAATAAGTACAAATGGAGATAATTATTGAACTTATTTCAATTTATTAAATGTACCATTATATAGCGCTGTTCCGAGATATGACAAATAATGATAAAGGATAATTGTTCCTATGTAAGTAAGATTATAAGGGTAGGGGGTGAGGAGGTGTCCAGGAATTCCGGGGAAAAATAGGGACTAAGATAACTTTTAAATGACATTGCAGGCTATGTTGTTTTATTTTTGTTAATATTGTCTGATACACAGTATTCTGATACATTTCATTGCAGTCTAACGTACAAATTGACACAGAGTTAGCTATGCTAATAGCAGCTGAGGACGACATCAAACAGTCCAGGCGAAGTAAGTTGGACTGAGAATTGTAGAACATTTGATCTGAACTGGAAATGTATCATGAAATGAATATGTACTATTGAATAGAATGAAATTAGAAAAAAACATTTGGAAATTATACTTAGTTAAACTTGAATGAACTATTAGATATGTACATGTTGGTATAAACACAGGAAGTTGCACTGAAGCTTTGTAGTGTATACATCCACTTGTACTGCAGGTACATCAAGGGTTTGTTAGGTGTTTCTTATCGTTACGTGTTTATACTGTAAAACAGGAGAGAGAAAAATGTCTCATTGATTTAAACTGATGAACATAAGGTTTTCCTTATGATTTCTCCACTCAAAACTTTACTGTGTTTCCTCTGATAGACAAACATCTGTTTCATATGGTATTGTTGTTTATAAACATTTCTTCTCATTTGTAGATTTCAGAAGAGCAGTACGGATGATAGTTCCTGTAAGTATGTAATTATGTCAAGCTTCATGTAATTAGTTTCTGGTTCATAAGAGGGATAAATCAAGGACCCAGTTCCTTGACTTTGAAATCAAAATTACGGTTAAGGCTTAACCTCAGATGTGGATCATACTTTGATAAAGCTACAAACGCTATGTTTTATTAATAACTGAAAGGTTTGGAGTTTGACTCTCATCTGCAATACCTTGTGTAATGTTACTTCTTATTGTCCTAGTCTACATAGATGTACAAATGCGTAGCAGTATGGTGGGAAGAAAAGTTCAAAAGGCTGTCATCCTTCTGCGTTGTTCATGCTACTTAATAATCTTTAAACTGGGCTTCAGAAAAGCTTTAAACTCCACTTTTAACCAAATAAATGACATTTCAAACTGAACATTTTGTATAAAAGGAGAAATTCATAAACACAAGTGTTAAATCAAGATATTTCAATACCACAACAAGAACAATCAATGGTGTCTGTAGCCATGGTTACAGGAATCAACTATGGTGATATCTGATAACACACTTACTAGATTTTTTGGTTTATTACTTCATTGTGATTCTTTATCTAGTCTACTGGCCCCTCAAAGGAGGAAAAACATGAATTAAGGGAATTGAAGAAAAACCCTATTCGGAGAATGTATGGTGAGTTTTACTTATTTTAATCCGAATTTACTCAGTCTTACCGTTTTAATTTTTGTTTCTTTCATTAGATACCAAGTTCTTTAGAAACAGTCCTTAAAGATAAAGAAAAAATTTAAGATGTTCTAAGCATTTTCCAAATAGCTATTTGAACCATAATATTGAAAACAAAAGTTATAAACTTTGTATCTATTATTTATGCACTAAGTACATAGTTCTAGCAGGGACAGTATACTATACGTCCCTGGTTCTAGTGTTTGTTTGAAACATTTCAAAATCATTGTAAAAACAAATCTGTCTATCTTTATTTTCAGAACTAGAGGATTTTATGCGAGACTTTGATACAATGGTAAATACCGCTTAATTACATTTAGTTTGAATATGTTTCAGTTTTATAAATTACTGCCCATCACTGATTTTCTCGAAGAAATAATTGTGTCGTGTGTCCATTGGTTATATCATGATGGATTTATATCCACGCAATAATCACTATAAACAGATATACATAGTTAAATGTCTTGTATACAAGACATTTAACTATGTGATGGATTCTTGTTGATTTATGTGGACAGATTTTTCTCGCAAAAACTTTGTCTTGGAGGCAAAAAAAGCAATTAAAATATTTGAAAAAGCATATTTTAAGTTAGAATAGACTGACAACTTGATATTATGAGGCAACACGAGTAAAAAGCCTTAGGTAGAATCAAGTCAAATCCCAAAAATCAGATCCAAATTCCAATGTGTTTTAATCTTTGGTCACTTGGCCAATATGTCGCTATAGTATTGAGTATTGATCAATGATGGTATCTTTATTTTTCATTAAATTTCAGCCTTTTGTTGCTACAATGTTGGTGGATATAAGTTTAACGAGGATTGAAAGCAGCATTCAAAGGAGACAGCTTGGTAAGTTGGTTATCTCCCCTTATAAGTATTATTTGGTTGTCTCCCCTGAAGAGTGGCAGAACATATGTATGGATCAAAACCTCCTATGTTACATGTATGTTATGATTTGTTATCTATTAGTGGGACATGTGTGGTGCCTCCCCAGTTAAGTATTAGTGGGAGATTTGTGCGGTAATCCTCCCTGTTAAGTATTAGCTGGATCACCCCCGTAAAGTATTAATGGAACATATATAATATGTGATAACGTCCCCTGTTAAATATTAGCTGGATCACCCCCGTAAAGTATTAATGGAACATAATATGTGGTAACCTCCCCCGTTAAATATTATCTGGATCACCCTTGTAAAGTTTTAATGGAACATATGTGGTTACCTCCACTGTAAAATATTAGTGGGACTTATGTGGTAACGTCCCCTGTTAAATATGAGCTGGATCACCCTTGTAAAGTATTAATGGAACATATGTGGTAACCTCCCCTGTTAAATATTATCTGGATCACCCTTGTAAAGTTTTAATGGAACATATGTGGTAACGTCCCCTGTAAAGTATTAGTGGGACTTGTTTGGTAACATTCCCTGTAAGGTTTTAGTGGGAATTTTTGTGGTAAAGTTCCCTGTAAAGTATTAGTGGGACTTATGTGGTAACGTCCCCTGTAAAGTATTAGTGGGACTTATGTGGTAACATCCACTGTAAAGTATTAGTGGGACTTATGTGGTAACGTCCCCTGTCAAGTATTAGTGGGACTTATATGGTAACATCCAATGTAAAGTATTAGTGGGACTTATTTGGTAACATCCACCGTAAAGTATTAGTGGGACTGATGTGGTAACATCCACTGTAAAGTATTAGTGGGACTGATGTGGTAACGTCCCCTGTAAAGTATTAGTGGGACTTATGTGGTAACGTCCACTGTAAAGTATTAGTGGGACTTATGTGGTAACATCCACTGTAAAGTATTAGTGGGACTGATGTGGTAACATCCACCGTAAAGTATTAGTGGGACTGATGTGGTAATGTCCCCTGTAAAGTATTAGTGGGACTGATGTGGTAACATCCACTGTAAAGAATTAGTGGGACTTATGTGGTAACGTCCCCTGTTAAATATGAGCTGGATCACCATTGTAAAGTATTAATGGAACATATGTGGTAACCTCCCCTGTTAAATATTATCTGGATCACCCTTGTAAAGTTTTAATGGAACATATGTGGTTACCTCCACTGTAAAGTTTTAATGGAACATATGTGGTAACGTCCGCTGTAAAGTATTAGTGGGACTTGTTTGGTAACATTCCCTGTAAAGTTTTAGTGGGAATTTTTGTGGTAAAGTTCCATGTAAAGTATTAGTGGGACTTATGTGGTAATGTCCCCTGTAAAGTATTAGTGGGACTTGTTTGGTAACATTCCCTGTAAAGTTTTAGTGGGAATTTTTGTGGTAACGTTCCCTGTAAAATATTAGTGGGACTTATGTGGTAACGCCCCCTGTAAAGTATTAGTGGGACTGATGTGGTAAAGTCCCCTGTAAAGTATTAGTGGGACTTATGTGGTAACATCACTGTAAAGAATTAGTGGGACTTATGTGGTAATGTCCCCTGTAAAGTATTAGTGGGACTGATGTGGTAAAGTCCCCTGTAAAGTATTAGTGGGACTTATGTGGTAAAGTCCCCTGTAAAGTATTAGTGGGACATATGTGGTAACTTCCCCTGTAAAGAATTTGATAAGTAGGACATATATCAAAATTATTTTGACAGGACATATTATGGTATAGGGAACATCGGCCTGTGTGTCTGATGTCTATCCACATTTTGGTTTCAGCATGATAACTTGCTTAGATATCATTTGATAATGATGAAACTTGGTATTTATATAAGTATGTGCATGTTCATTAGACAATGCCTTGGACAGTTTGAAGTTGAGTAATATCTGCTCATAATTAATTAGCATATGGTGCTCTGATCATTGGTTGACAGTTTCTGTAAAATGACTTTGTCAAATATGTTTTAATTCTGTTAAAACTTCATCAATACATATATCTACAATGACAAAAATAAGATTTAATAGCCTTCTGCTATCTGATTGGTCGATGGTTTCCGCACAATAATTTGGTCAAATATGTAAGGATTCTAATGAGACTTAATCAATATTTACAATTTGTTTAATAGCAAGATCTGCCTATTATTAATTATCATTAGGAATATCTTTGGTTTTAATGGTAAGGAGCAAATTCAATTTCTGTTTTCATGGTTTGAAATATGTACAAAGGGAGGCAATTGTAATTAAGATTTTAAAAAGGTCATTAAGGATTAATGAAATATATATATTCCTTCAGTTGAAGTTGGGTAAGAATATTTCCTCCTTTCACCACATTTCAGGAACAAACATGTAGTTCTCAACTTTACTAAGTTATACAGTACAGATGTGTTTTCTTCTCCCTATATTTCCATATTTCCTTCTATTTAGCTACAACAATGCATCACTCCCATCAGAAGGATTTTAAGTAGGTCATTTTGGCATGGGACAGACGTATATAGTTCTGCCTTGTGGTACTCTTGTTCCTTTTGTTTGTATTGTTAACGTACTAACCCTGTCTATGTTGAAATCAATATTTACACGATTACCGAGGTTGTAAAACTTATTTTAAAAAGTGTTTTCTTGATCATTTTCAGCTCTCCAGAATCTCCGGAGAGTGATTTATGAGGTAAGTAATAAATAACACAGCAATACAGGAAATATGATATTGATTGACAGAGATGTATTCTGTTAAACTTAGAAATCCAGTTACCCGAGTATATCTACAGACATGTTAAACTATCGTAGGTGTCAACCTCTGAATTCTCCAATCAGGGTGATCTCTCCCTCATTCTAATTCTCAAAAGGGGGGAAAGTTTGCTGAAATTTTTTCTGGGTATTCATTGTTCCGGAAAGAAGTGTTCACTGCATATATAGTATATAGTAATAATCACCAATAGTAAAATAAAAAATAATATATACAACATTTGATATAGCGCCCTATCTAGCTAACATAAGCCACTCTAAAGCGCTTTCCAGTACATAGATATACAATTTTATACAGTCAATACGATTAGGCTATATATTAATCAATACAATATTGAGGAATTCGCAGGAGCTGCCTTATCAGGCGCTAACTACTAGTCCTATGCCACCTGGCTATTATCTCCCTATGTGTGTATGCCTGTGTGTGTGCTGGAGATGTATTGTGTAACTATTAATATACAAGTGAAAACTCTCATTTTCATATAATTATCAGCTGACTGTAGTGATGAATTTTGATAACAAATAATGTAACATAACTTTGCATGTCTTTACTCTTTATGTCATTAAAATGCAGTTTTTACATACCATGTTATGTTTGTATGTTGTAGGCGTCTGTAACAGGATATTATGTGGAGGCCAAAGGTATGTATATATTGTTTTTAATCATCCATTGTTTTGGTAATGATGTTACCATTTTTTCTGAAATATACATATCAATAGAATTTGTTATTAAGGCCAAACTAAAAATAATTTGTGTTTCCGGTTACCCTACCTACCCTAATTTTTTGTGGCAATTTTCAAAGAAACACTGTTAATGTCAAGATCACTCTCTTATAAAATCCACATAAAATTAGTTTATAAAATAGAATTTATAACCTACCTTACGACCCCAAATTTTCCAACATGTTACAGGAAACATACATCATTTTTGTTTGGCCTTATTAAACTTGGAACTATGAGAATGATGGTGTCTTAAATGATATCACCTAGATAGAATAGTGATAACACATTTTTGTCACTGTAGTGTCAAAGAAGGCTCGGTCACGGACACTGGTTAAGTCGTCCAAGCATACCTCCAAAACTGCTGAAAGAAAGTCCAAGCATGCATCTGATACTACATTGGAAACTTCCAAGTATACACCCGAAACTGCAGTGGAAAAGTTCAAGCATGTGCCTGGAACTGAAAGGGAAAAGTCGAAGCATGCATCCGGGGTCCACAATGAAAGTGACTCGGATGAAGACCATCCCTTCACCAAAGTAATGGAGATTTATCAAGCTGAGAGTTTGCGACTCGAGAAGAATCTAGAAATGTTTAATGTACGGCTACAAGAATATGTCCACTCGCATCAAAGCATGCGAGAGGTCAAGAAAGTCTCAGTCAGGTCGAAGAGGACACGTCGTGCTGATGTCAAAAGGGTCAGATTCAATATCAAAACAGTCATGCCTGAAGTCAAAACAACCAAACCCAAAGTCATAAAGGTCACACCTGAAACCATCGAAACAGATAAACCAATTGAGAAAAGGGTTAAAAGGGAGAAACCAAAAGATTTTAACCACAAATGTAGACAGCAAGAGTTTAGTGAGGAGAGTGATGTGACTGATGTCTCTCACCATGATTCTCAGAAGGAGAGTGATGTGACTGATGTTTCTCACCATGATTCTCAGGAGGAGAGTGAGGAGAGTGATGTGACTGATGTTTCTCACCATGGTTCTCAGAAGGAGAGTGAGGAGAGTGATGTGACTGATGTTTCTCACCATGATTCTCAGAAGGAGAGTAACCCTCCGCCAGACAAGGAAGAAAGGACGAGGAAGATTATCTCCCATCCTCCCAGAGAGAAAACACAAACTTCTGGTGACAATGAGCGGGCAGATGGTAAGTTATTAGTTACAATACACCATTTTTTTGTTACGTATATATTTCACATTATTTTACCCTTAGCAACCCCCAGCCTGAAAGAACTTTCCTAAGATAACACATTTTCTGCATTATTCTTATTTGGGACAACCCAATCCCCCTCCTCCTCTACTTCCCAACTCTTCAAGGGGGTTAGGGGCTAGGAAGATTCAAACTTAGTCTCTGTGGATCTGCCATAGGTTTCAAATTGCCGGAAGAGCCAAGATCAAGAAGAATCTGCCAACAATAATTTGGAAACATTTTTGACTCCAAGTTATAAATTAAGTTAACAGTCACACTAGTACTGATAAGGGAAGTTTATCTAACACCATCCGAATTATAGCATATGTATGAATCTGCTTTTATCATATGATAGCATCAAACCTAATACCATGTACATTTTAATTGCATTTTACTGAAAACTCACTAGACTTCAATCTTTTCCCTGATAGAGAGAGTACCAAAGAAAAAGGAGGAGACAAATGGAAGTGTGTCTATGAAGTCTGAACTGAGTCGTGAGGGAAAAGATAACGCAGCTAAGCAGAAACTGGTAATGCAGCCATGGAGTGACGAGGAAGAGGAAGAAGAAAGTGATGATGATTTCCCCCAGGAGTTACCACTGCAGGCAATGAGTCCGCATGGAAGTGATGTAGAGATTACCAAGGAACCTGTGACACTTGCCACTCCTACACTCGGAAGTGACGTAGAGATTACCAAGGAACCTGTGACACTTGCCACTCCTACACTCGGAAGTGACGTAGAAGTTACAAAGGAACCTGTGGTACTGGCCACACCTACACTCGGAAGTGACGTAGAAGTTACAAAGGAGCCTGTAATACTGCCCCTGCCCACACTCGACCCTATGCCTGTGTACCTTGATAGTAAGTTATTGCCTAGCTTTCTCCCATGGTAACCCACCCATGGTATTATACAACCATTTGTAAAATTTACATTTACAACCAAAAATAAAAGTGCATGGACAAGATTGGTTAATTTTCCTTGGAACCAAGTGATTGTATTGAACCTTCTACTTGTTAATATTTTAAGCAGATTTCTGCTGTGATCATAAAATTATAGGTAACAAAACTTTATCCCATATTGTACTATGTTATCCAGTGAAAATACCGATGTCGTATTTCTTGGCGTATTAACCAATGTAATATGACCTATCAGCCCTGTGATTGGTTGAAAGTTTCAATTGTTTCAATTGTGACGTCACGCCGCTAGGACAAGTACATGACGTCTTAGACTTCCGCACTGGAGTCAAAATGGCAGCTTTTTACATTTCAAGGTTGCATGAAGATTTTCGTTTTACACGAATAAATGCCACAAATCTTGATTATGTGGTAAAAATGATCTTACGCATCGTTTCATTTCATATGAAATTTATGAAACTCGTCACAAATTTTTCATTTTAGCTTGCCAGAGGCTCGCTAAATTGAAAATTCTTAGACTCGTTTCATAAATCTCATATGAAATGGAAACTCGTGTAAGATCCTATATATATGTCTTCAATTTTCTCAAGACTTAACATCTCAATTTACAGATTTCCAAGCAAGCTGTGTTCTGACATATCTATTTTCCAGCAGGTACGTTGATTTCAATACTAAGTAGAATTTCATTTTTCGTTTACTTTGTTTATGACTAAAAGTAAACGATGGTATTTCTTGTAATTATTTCACCTGGGGTACTTGCCTTGTCTGTCAATAGTATTGTATTATAGTTATAGGTGTATTGACAGACGAGGCTAGCTATTTTGATCTCACTGAACAACTTACATTCTTTGATATGTATCTCTGTGATTTTTTTTAATTGTGATAGGCAAAATATTTGCGTAGCTGAGGATATTTGTCTATTTGATCCCCATCTTGTACATAACTAAGATTTAAGTTTACATTAAAATCAACTTTTTGATTATTATTTTGTTGTCATCCCGCACATATTTCAAACATAAAAATACTTTGGCTTTGGTCATGAGCATGTCTGATAATGGTGACAGTACATACTGAGCTAGTCAATGGAACATCACAAATAAATATGTCACTGGTTATGCTCTGTGAACCGACATATAATCTGTATTTACAACATCAAGAAAATGTTTCGAGATGTCAAAAAATATGTTTAAAATATTTTGGAGAGTGAAGTATCTCAGCCAAAATGACTTTGTCCCTATGAGCACAAATATTCAATCTTCATGCATAATGAGTTTATATTGTATAATACATTTTCTTTTAACATTGATGGTAGTTTTTGGTGTTTGTTGTTAATTACAGAGATGACTTTGATGAGGACTTTGAACCAGATTATGTGATTCCTCCTTACGAAAGTGAGCGCACGGTGTACACTGGAAAGCAGCACAAAGTCTACAGTCGTCTGAACAAAGAAACCTTCGGACAGAAGCAGCGCTGCTAATTTAATATCACAAGTTCCAGAATCTTTCAACTGGCAAAACAACGAAAATTTTATCTTATTTTAAAAAACGCTAACATCTGAAAAAAAATATTGTACCTCGAACTTCAAAATATTATGTTAAAAAATCATATTTAAAATTGAAGCATATCTATATCATACACTATTTTAAATCGTTTTGTGTGTCTCTGCTTAACCGGGTACCTCGGAAGTTCATTATCAGTCAGTTATTGGTACTTTTGCGTTGAAAGGATTTTCTTATAGAAGTTATTACGTAGAATTTTTAAAGAAAAAACTCAATTGGTGAACAGGATTACCAATGTTATTGTGTGAATTTTAGCATTTAAGTTTTTATTTTGTAAGTATCATTTACAAATTTACAATTGTTATATGAGTTTTTAAAGTATTATTTATTTGTTGATATATAGAGTAGCATTTGATTGTGAAGAGGTAGTTCATGGCTTGTACAATATATTTACCTATATGATATACATTCAAGTCTATGATTATGTTTAAGTCTTATTTACAAATTTACAATTGTTATGATGAATTTTATTAAAGCTTTTTTTAAATCTGTTTAATATAGAGTAACATTTGTTGATAAACTGGCAGTACATGAACAGTGCAATTTATTTTTACCTATATCATACATACAGGTTTATGTACTTTTTTCTTTTCTTCTTTTGCATCAGTGGCCCAGGGCCATGTTTACAAATTGATTTCAATACAGGGTAATGTATATTTTGATATTGATAAATATTTCAAAATAATGATAATGGTTATAAAAGTTAAATTTATTATAATAATCAGAAAATGATACCATATAAATAGTGATTAAGGTTTGTGGTCTGTTGTAATATCATGTATAAGTTCGTGTAGAAAATGCGAGATTGTTGGTCTAAATTATGTTTCAAATTATACTTTCGGCCATTTATTTATTTTTTCAATCTGAATTCCATGATGAGATAGATTAGATTGGGAGGCAGGTTAATTTAAAGTTCATAACTTTAAATATCATACAAATTTCAGTCTGTAGGACCTAGAAGACAGATTCTATGGGAATGCAGACCGTGGGCTTTTTTAGAACCGTTCTTTAAATTAGATTGACCATTTCTAAATTGAAAGAAGGACTCTTAAGGATAAAGATAATTTTAGCTATAAAAAGGTGAGTCCGGATATTTGGTTTTTAAATGTAGGTATGAAATTTATTTATTTATTTATTCGATTTATACAATTTTGCAGAATTCTAGCATGAACATTTATCAGATAATCGAGGTATCATTTTTACAACATGTACACGATACATTTATTATTATGTTTTTCTGATAAACATCATGTAAGAATTTTTTATACCATATTTCGCAACAATAGAATTGATTGTCAGTGAATTTAAAAAGGTTTTTAATAAGTGTACTAGGAACATAACTATTTACACTGCAATAAAACTGATTGTAAACTTGATTTCTTTTGTGTTTTCTTATGAGGTATATGTTGTTGTCAGTTATGTATAAATTAACCTTAGATAATCATTAGTCTCTTGCTGTAAACAGATTGTATATACTTAAACTTACATTTATCTATGAAAATACATGTTTGATTAGTGTGAATTAAATCAATTCGCCACCCCCCTAGAAAAAAATCAAATTAAGGGGAGGAATAGCAGCGTGGACTTTCTCTGGGTACTCCGGTTTCTTCCCTTATTAAGACATCCGCGAGCTAACATCCGGGTCAACAAGTGTACATAATGTCAGTTGAAACAACGTATTACGGTTGTAAAATAAATATTTCTTTTTAGTTATCTCCCATTAAAGGAATTTAATCCTGTAGGTATGCAAAACTGTGGTAGGTAGGTGCGTGTGTATCATACGATGGCCGATAGCGGCCGACAGAACACTCATGTTAGTAAAAAGTGTTTTGTCTGACAGTTTGTCAAATTATAAGTGAGCATTTTACACATTTTGTAAAAAGTGTAAACTGTCATGACACTTTGTCAATTCATGCATGGCAGATTACTCATTTTACTTTCACAAAATAAACATTGGGGGAGGAGGAGAGATGGAAATAGGGTCACATTCCAAGGGCTGAGGGACTAAAATGAACAAAAGATAATCCATAGTAGCGTAGAAATAAATCACATGAAAGTACTGACTGTTCAAAATGCTAGACATGTCATGGTTTCTGCAAATTTTATACCACAGCTCAATGATTGTGACGTGGTAGAAATTGATATTTTCGAAAATCGTTTTGAAAACTAAGCAGTATTGATTATATTAATAAAATGTTCGACATATTCCTCACTTTCAGCTTATAAGGCATTCAATAAGGCATGCAAAACAATTTCACATTCCATTTTGATATGAAGTTTCAGTTCGTGAACATTATCTTAATAACATATATTTCGTGAAATTTTGTGTATGAAATAAACCGCATATTATTTGAATTTTCGAAAGGGATTGGAGCATTTAGCATACTTATGTAAACGGACACACGAAGGAGCTAATGACTGCGCAAACATATGTCCGCAACGATAAAATGTAATACATATCGTATATCTCAAATATATTATTATACTATTACATGTATCAGTGGATACATCATGTGTATTAGGAGATACAACGCATACATCAAATCGAAGGGTTGAACATTACATACCACTACAGTATACTTACTGTCTTGAGGTTCAGTCTGCATTTTGAAATGTCACTGAAAATAACATGATATGTATACTACTAATTTGTCAATAGTCACTGAGTATTACATTTGTACAATAATCACAATTATCATTACGGTGGTCTCCCAGAGAAGTTAAGTTAATGGTATGAACTATTATATCAAGATTGTAACAATTCTGTGCTATATTAATAAAAAGAGTATATCAAACATTACGGTTAAAATGTATGCAGACTTTGACTATGCCATCATTTCTATCAAAACAACTTTTAAAACAACTATTAGCCTCCTATGTGTGACCTTCAGATCAAGCACACGGTGTGTAACATGACCAAGAAAGGTTATCCTGCTGCCTGGAGAGTCTAGTGCTACCTTCAGTATTGAACTTGTGATCGTCAATAAATCCTTAAGTTTACATATTCAAAACAGTATACATATACATTTAAAATATAAATACTTTTTAAACAGCATCGTTTTACCTACTTCATAGCAGGAACTCCCTCTTGCTCCCAGTGTGCACAATGAACAGTTAAAAACACCGTCTAATCGGTGTGATTTATGTTTAAACCCTTGGAATGTGACCCTATATCTATCTCTCCCTCCTCCCCCAGTGTTTATTTTGTGAAAGTAAAATGAGTAAACTGCCATGCATGAATTGACAAAGTGTCATGACAGTTTACACTTTTTACAAAATGTGTAAAATGCCCACTTATAATTTGACAAACTGTCAGTCAGAACACTTTTTACTAATACGAGTGTTCTGTCGGCCGCTATCGGCCATCGTAGTATCATAATGGCCTGTCGTACATATGGACTAGTTTAAAGACATGTTACCGAAAGGTGACGACACTAGTCCTATCTTATCTGTCTTGTGATTACAACATATTCCAGTGAACGAATGCTATACTGAGCGTCACACAGGACGAACAATGTATAGACAATTGCTGCTGATATGTGGGATTATTACCTATTCTGGTAATGCTCATTATATATGGTGTCGGTTTAAATATATTGCTTCCGTCCCTATTCTACAATTGTATAACATCTGCGATTACAGATTTTAAGCGTCACCTCAACGCAAAATATCAAACTAATTTATTGTGTTTAAAAAAAATGCATCTTGTATCGCGTACACTTGAAGGCATGCGCATTCAAAATTTTAAATACTGACAGTGTAAAATGACTTTGGATTACAGAGGGTGTGGACCTGGCCTCACCTGAGGTGTTTGATGCTCAGTTCTATCTGAACAACTACCGCGATCTTCATGCTGCCCACATCAACACGCCGGAGGCGGCTAAAGCTCACTGGCTGTCTGATGGTATAACCCAGGGGCGGCAGGGTTGTGGTAGCTTTCACTCAAAGCAGTATGTCACAAGGTAAAATAGTATGGCTCCAAATGTTACACTACGACTTCAAATTCAAGATTTCAAATTTTCTTTCCTCAGTAGAAACATAATAAACCTCTTCTGTTTATGGAGGAAACTTGTAACAGTTGATTAACAACTTCAGAATCTGTTCTATAATCAGGATTTTTCGGCTAAATAAATCCTACTGAATTTGCATTTCGATCTTTTCCGTATGTTTTGATACTTTGGTGTTTTCTATTTAACATTATTTCAAGAATATGTTACTGTTTATGAAAATAGAAGGGTTATCAGCTTTGGTAACGGGATTTCCATATTAGTATAGATGAACCCGATCAACGAACTCTAAATACGGAATATTTGTGGTTGGAAAACGATCTCTACATTAGCATGGAATACACTGGCAAGACTACATGAATCATGTTCACAGCATTTAACTTAGTTTACGTTCGTGCTCAACACAGGTTAAGTTAAGGCCGTCATGAAAACTACCTATATCGCATTTAAATAATAAATATTCCCGAAAAATCGAACACACCCTTGGCTAATTTGGTTCCAGAGCGTACCATTAATTACACGATAAATGTGGTGGAAAAATCACGTTTATAAATATATGTGAAATCGATGAAAGTGAAAGACTTCTTGAGTATCTTCCGGAATATTTTCTCGTAGATATGAGGGTGACAGCGATGAAAAAGTTGTGTGAAAATATCAGGATCGTCTGGTGAAAAGATAAATACCTTGTTAGAGGAAAACAACACTTGGAATACATTCAATCAAACTGGGTGATGACACGAGGAAGTTACCGATGAGAGAACAGTTAAACAACAATGCAATATTGTATCAATAAGTCCTCACAAAAGGAATTAAAACAAACGAACCGTTTTCTTTCACCGGAAATACGCTGTATTTGCTTTGCTTGCGTTTCCTTCCCGTTAGTGTTCCGTTTGCGTTAAATTGGACAAGGATAACGGTTCATGATCTGTAACCATCTTGTGTTAAATAGATTAAGTGATAGCTAAATAAAACATAACAAACAAAATGATATTTTGTTGTCGACATACATATTCAATGCAATTGAAGGATAAATATCTATAATTCTCCAAACCGACTAGAGTTGACCAGATCAGAGTTAGGAACAGCAAAAGTGGCATGTGAAAAAGGGCTGCCCCAGTTAATTGCAGACATTAAAAACCAATCTGACAACAAAAACCAATCTGACAACAAAAACCAACCTGACAACAAAAACCAACCTGACATGATTTATTTTATCAAGATTAATTTGAAAGTGTCGCCAATGTGTTTCAGATACCCTGATTTGACCAAAGCTTTCCACACAGACTACACTGCTGTTGTTCAGCATTACCTCACAAACGGAATCCACGAGCATCGGCTGGGGTACATAGACGGAGGGTACGACGGTAGATGGACAATCTCAAACGGCAGGGACTTGTTCGTTAGCGCGTCCAAACGCATGGGAGGAGCTATAGACAGCCTCGTCTGGAACAACAAACAGATGATCAATATGTATGACCACGGACGGGAGTTACAAATGGCTTGCAATTCCGACACATACACGGAATGTTATAACCCTACGGAAGCTGGAGGGAGGGACGATTCTAATCTCGACACGACTCACACACATATTCAGTGGGTTAAAGCGCATAGTGACACATTAGAATCACAGGTAACGCTAGTTTATAGTGCTTTTTTTCAAAACAAACTAACATTTTATTACAGTACATTTTGCATAAACTGATCTAATCCTTTCATTTTGGTATATTTCTTTTTTCACCTTACATTTTGTGTGTGTGAATATCAATCACTTTGTATATAACCTAATGTAGTACTTAAATTTACAATTTATATCAATTTATAGTTAGTATGGGTTTTTGTTTCATTTCCAATGGTAACTAAATTGCAGTTTCAAACCGAGTCAATCGTAAGACACGGAGAGTGCAAAAAGGGGACAAATGCACTTCAAGTTCTGTACATTTTACAGATGATCCAACACTTTGACATTATATTTTGTTTTAATTTAAGGTACATCCTGCTTTTTGGTTGCGACCAGGTACCCATGAGAAAAGGGTATCGCGTTCAAGTTGCAACAGAGGCAGCCCATCACTGACCCACCAATCCACATACGCCTATCCGTTCTCGAAGCATGTACAAATTGGTGTCCATGGAATGTCTAACGCTTTGGAGTTCATCTCCAACTTCACTCTCGCCGGAGACTGGCCTAACGACTTGAGATATATTCAGATGGAGGCACCAACTGGCTACATGCCCGGAGAGTTCACGAGTTCTTATCGATTTAACCCAGAAACCTTATCTTTAGAAAACCATGGATCGAACCTGAAACCCCCGGTACTTTCCACAGACGACGGGCAGTACGCTATGGGAGTATACTCACCTCCTGGTCAAGACAGTGACACGTTCATGTATTATGGCGTCTCTCTGCGACTTGGCGGTACATCATTTACAGGAAGTACCAACAAGTGGAACGTTGTGTACCGGAAAAGTCGTTTCACTTCCGGTGTTCATCATCAGGTGTATAAAACCTACATTTGTGTAGGAACGCTGAACATGGTGACAAGCTGCCTTCATACGCTGATCCAAGCAATCCCGCATGTTTAATTGTAATGACCTCAATACGATGCAGCTAATAAAGCATGTATTCTAAAACATACGCAGAAATTTAATCAAATTATACCGAATATTTTACATTAAAAATGCAGACTTGATATCTAACAAATCAATGTTTGATTTTGATCAAAGAGGAGGCCATTTAGTTAAAACATGATAAAATTAATATCAATATTTCACCTATGTTTTACGCAAAGTAATTAATACATTGTAAGCACCTAGATACTTTATTTTCTACCTTTTTTTTTTATCCTTATCGAGGACGAACAAGAACAAGACTAAAGGAAGCATTGATATCAATTTAAAAACAAACAAGAATAAATAAATAAATAAATAAATAAATAAATAAATAAAAATCATTTGGTACGTCTCATTATGTCTACCGACAAATTAAAGACGCAAACTTCTGTAACATAGACGAAAGTCTCTGAAATGAAGACGAAAGCCTTTCAAACATAAACGAAAGTCTCTGAAATGAAGACGAAAACCTCTGAAACATAGATGAAAGTCTCTGAAACATAGACGAAAACCTCTAAAACGTCGACGAAAGCCTCTTAAAGATAAACGAAAGTCTCTGAAACATAGACGAAAGCCTTTTAAAGATAGACGAAAGTCTCTGAAACATAGACGAAAGCCTTTTAAAGATAGACGAAAGTCTCTGAAACATAGACGAAAGCCTCTTAAACATAGACGAAAATCTCTAAAACATAAACGAAAGCCTCAAAAACGTAGACGAAAGCCTCTTAAAGATAAACGAAAGTCTCTGAAACATAGACGAAAACCTCTAAAACGTAGACGAAAGCCTCTTAAAGATAGACGAAAGTCTCTGAAACATAGACGAAAACCTCCAAAATGAAGAAAATGAGGGGTACATAACAACGCCGTAAAGATGACCAGGTTACATAACAACACCGTAAAGATGACCGGTACATTACAACGTCATAAAGATGACCGGGGTACATAAGAAAGCCGTAAAGATGACCGGCTACATAACAACGCAAAAAAGATGACCGGACTACATAACAACGCAAAAAAGATGACCGGGGTACATAACAACGCCGTAAAGATGACCGAGATACATAACGACGTCGTAAAGATGACCAGGTTACATAACAACACCGTAAAGATGACCGGGGTACATAACAACGCCGTAAAAATGACCGGGGTACATAAGAACGCCGTAAGAATGACCGGAGTACATAATAACGCCAAAAAGATGAGTGGGGTACATAACAACACCTTAAAGATGACTGGTGTACATAACAACGCCGTGAAGATGACTGGGATACATAAAAACACCGTCAAGATGACCGGGGTACATAAAAACACCGTAAAGATGACCGGGGTACATAAAAACGAGATAAAGATGACCGGGGTACATAAAAACTCCGTCAAGATGACCGGGGTACATAACTGAAACATAGACGAAAGCCTCTTAAAGATAGACGAAAGTCTCTGAAACATAGACGAAAACCTCCAAAATGAAGAAAATGAGGGGTACATAACAACGCCGTAAGGATGACCGGGTACATAATAACGCCAAAAATATGACCGGGTACATAACAACGCCGTTAGAATTACCGGAGTACATAATAACGCCAAAAATATGACCGGGTACATAACAACGCCACAAAGATGACCGGGGTACATAACAACACCGTGAAGATGACCGGGGTACATAAAAACGCCAAACAACCGCCGGGGGTACATAACGTGAAGATGACTGGGATACATAACAACTCCAAAAAGATGACCGAGGTACATAACAACGCCGTAAAAATGACCGGGGTACATAAAAACACCGTCAAGATTACCGGGGTACATAACAACGGCGTAAAGATGACCAGGTACATAATAACGCCGTAAGAATGACCGGAGAACATAATAACGCCAAAAAGATGACCGGAGTACATAACAACGCCGTAAGAATGTCCCAGTACATAACAACGCCGTAAGAGTGACCGGAGTACATAATAACGCCAAAAATATGACCGGGTACATAACAACGCCACAAAGATGACCGGGGTACATAAGAGCGCCGTAAGAATGACCGGAGAACATAATAACGCCAAAAAGATGACCGGGTACATAACAACGCCGTAAGAGTGACCGGAGTACATAATAACGCCAAAAATATGACCGGGTACATAACAACGCCATAAAGATGACTGGGGTACAAAACAACCGCATAACAACGAGGTAAAGATGACCGGGTACATAACAACGCCAAAAAGATGACTGGGGTACATAACAACGCCAAAAAGATGACCGAGGTACATAACAACGCCGTAAAGATGACCAGGTACATTATAACGCCGTAAGAATGACCGGGCTACATAACAACGCCGCAAGGATGACCGGGTACATAACAACGCCAAAAAGATGACCGGGGAACATAAAAACACCGTCAAGATGACCGGGGTACATAACAACGCCGTAAGAATGACCGGGTACATAACAACGCCGTAAAGATGACCAGGTACAAAACAACGCCGTAAGAATGACCGGGGTACATAACAACGCCGCAATAATGACTGGGGTACATAACAACGCCGTAAAGATGACCAGGTACATAACAACGCCGTAAGAATGACCGGGGTACATAACAACGCAAAAAAGATGACCGGGGTATATAAAAACGAGATAAAGATGACCGGGGTACATAACAACACCTTAAAGATAACTAGGGTACAAAACAGCGCCAAAAAAATGCCTGGGGTACATAACAGCGCCAAAAAGACGACTGGGGTACATAACAACGCCGTAAAGATGACCAGGTACATAACAATGCCGTTAGGATGACCGGGTACATAACAACGCAAAAAAGATAACCGGGGTATATACAATCGAGATAAAGATGACCGGGGTACATAACAACACCGTAAAGATGACTTGGGTACATAACAGCGCCAAACAAATGCCTGCGGTACATAACAGCGCCAAAAAGATGACTGGGGTACATAAAAACGACAAAATGATGACCGGGGTACATAACAACGCCGTGAAGATGACCGGGGTACATAACAACGCCGTAAAGATGACCCGGTACATAACAACGCCTTAAGAATGACCGGGGTACATAACAACGCGGCAAAAATGACCGGGTACATAACAACGCCGTATAGATGACAGGGGTACATAACAACACCGTAAGAATAACCGGGGTAAATAACAACGCCGCAAGAATGACCGGGTACATAACAACACCGTCAAGATGACCAGGTACATAACAACGCCGGAAGAATGACCGGGGTACATAACAACGCCGTAAAGATGACCGAGATACATAACGACGCCGTAAAGATGACCAGGTTACATAACAACACCGTAAAGATGACTAGGGTAGATAACAAGGCCGTAAAGATGACCGGGTACATAACAACGCCAAAAAGATGACCGGGGTACATAACAACGCCGCAAGGATGACCGAGATATATAACGACGCCGTAAAGATGACCAGGTTACATAACAACACCGTAAAGATGACCAGTTACATAACAACGCCGTAAGAATGACCAGTTACATAACAACGCCGTAAGAATGACCGGGGTACATAATAACGCCAAACAAACGCCTGGGGTACATAACAACGTCAAAAAGATGACCGGGGTACATAACAACGCCGTAAAGATGACTGGGGTACATCACAACGACGTAAAGATGACTGGGGTACATAACAACGCCAAAAAGATGACCGGGGTACATAAAAACGAGATAAAGATGACCGGGGTACATAACAACACCTTAAAGATGACTGGGGTACATAACAGCGCCAAAAAATGCCTGGGTTACATAACAGCGTCAAAAAGATGACTGGGGTACATAACAACGCCAAAATGATGACCGGGGTACATAACAACGCCGTAAGGATGACAGGGTACATAACAACGCCAAAAAGATGACCGGGGTACATAAAAACGAGATAAAGATGTCCGGGGTACATAACAACGCCGTAAGAATGACCCGGTACATAACAACGCCGTAAGAATGACCGGGGTACATAACAACGCCGTAAGGATGACAGGGTACATAACAACGCCAAAAAGATGACCGGGGTACATAAAAACGAGATAAAGATGTCCGGGGTACATAACAACACCTTAAAGATGACCGGTGTACATAACAACTCCGTAAAGATGACCGGGGTACATAACAACGCCGTTAAGATGACCGGGGTACATAACAACGCCAAAACGATGACCGGGGTACATAAAAACGAGATAAAGATGTCCGGGGTACATAACAACACCTTAAAGATGACCGGGGTACATAACAACTCCGTAAAGATGACCGGGGTACATAACAACGCCGTAAGGATGACCGGGTACATAACAACGCCAAAAAGATGACCGGGGTACATAACAACGCCGTTAAGATGACCAGGTACATAACAACGCCGTAAGAATGACCGGGGTACATAACAGCGCCAAACAAATGCCTGGGGTACATAACAGCGCCAAAAAGATGGCTGGGGTACATAACAACGCCAAAATGATGACCGGGGTACATAACAAGGCCGTAAAGATGACCGGGGTACATAAAAACGCCGCAAGAATGACCGGGCACATAACAACGCCGTAATAATGACAGGAGTACATAACAACGCCGTAAGAATGACCGGGTACATAACAACGCCGAAAAGATGACCAGGGTACATAACAACCCTGGGTACATAAAAACGAGATAAAGATGACCGAGGTACATAACAACACATTAAAGATGTCAGGTGTACATGACAACACCGTAAAGATGACCGGGGTACATAACAACGCCGTAAAGATGACCGGGTACATAACAACGCCAAAAAGATGACCGGGTACATAACAACGCCGCAAGGACGACCAGGTTACATAACAACACCGTAAAGATGATTCGGGTAGATAACAACGCCGTAAAGATAACCGGGATACATAACAACGCGGTAAAGATGACCGGGGTACATAACAACGCCGCAAGGATGACCGAGATACATAACGACGCCGTAAAGATGACCAGGTTACATAACAACAACGTAAAGATGACTGGGGTACATAACAACGCCGTAAAGATGACCAGGTACATAACAACGCCGTAAAGATGACTGGGGTACATAACAACGCCAAAAAGATGACTGGGGTACATAACAACGCCAAAAAGATGACTGGGGTACATAACAACGCCGTAAGAATGACCGGGGTACATAAAAACGAGATAAAGATGACCGGGGTACATAAAAACACCGTCAAGATGACAGGGGTACATAACAACGCCGTAAAGATGACCAGGTACATAACAACGCCGTAAGAATGACAAGGGTACATAACAACGCCGCAAGAATGACTGGGGTACATAACAAAGCGTAAGGATGACCAGGTACATAACAACGCCGTAAGAATGACCGAGGTACATAACAACGCCGTAAGGATGACCGGGTACATAACAACGGAAAAAAGATGACCGGGGTATATAAAAACGAGATAAAGATGACCGGGGTCCATAACAACGCCGCAAGAATGACTTGGGTACATAACAACGCCGTAAGAATGACCGGGTACATAACAACGCAAAAAAGATGACCCGGGTACATAACAACACCTTAAAGATGACTGGGGTACAAAACAACACTTTAAAGATAACTGGGGTACATAACAGCGCCAAAAAAAAGCCTGGGGTACATAACGGCGCCAAAAAGATGACTGGGATACAAAACAACGCCAAAATGATGACCGGGGTACATAACAACGCAGTAAAGATGATTGGGGTACATAACAGCGCCAAAAAAATGCCTGGGGTACATAACAGCGCCAAAAAGATGACTGGAGTACACAACAACGCCAAAATGATGACCGGGGTACATAACAACGCCGTAAAGATGACCAGGTACATAAAAACGCCCAAAAGATGACCGGGGTACATAACAACGCCGTAAGGATGACCGGGTCCATAACAACGCCGTAAGGATGACCGGGGTACATAAAAACGAGATAAAGATTACCGGAGTACATAACAACACCGTAAAGATGATCGGGGAACATAACAACGCTGTAAGAATGACCGGGGTACATAACGACGCCGTAAAGATGACCGGGATACATAACAACGCCGTAAGAATGACCCGGTACATAAGAACGCCGCAAGAATGACCGGGGTACATAACGACGCCGTAAATATGACCGGGGTACATAACAACCCTCAAACGATGACCGGGGTACATGAAAACGAGATAAAGATGATCGGGGTACATAACAACACCTTAAAGATGACCGGGGTACATGACAACGCGTAAGGATGACCGGGTACATAACAACGCCGCAAGGATGACCGGGGTACATAACAACGCCGTAAAGATGACCGGGGTACATAACAACGTCATAAAGATGACCAGGTACATAACAACGCCAAAAAGACGACCGGGTTACATAAAAACGAGATCAAGATGACCGGGGTACATAACAACGCCGTTAAGATAACCGGGATACATAACAACGTCGTAAGGATGACCGGGGTACATAACAACGCCGCAAGAATGACCGGGGTACATAACGACGCCGTAAAGATGCCCGGAGTACATATCAGCGCCAAAACGATGACCGGGGTACATAAAAACGAGATAAAGATGACCGGGGTACATAACAACACCGTAAAGATGACCGGGGAACAAAACAACGCCGTAAAGATGACCGGGGTACATAACAATGCCAAAAAGTTGACCGGGGTACATAACAACGCCAAAAAGATGACTTGGAAACATAACAACGCCATAAAGATGACTGGGAACATAACAACGCCGTAAAGATGACCGGGGTACACAACAACGCCGTAAGGATGACCGGGTACATAACAACGCCAAAAAGATGACTGGGGTACATAACAAGGCAAAATGGATGACCAGGGTACATAAAAACGAGATAAAGATGACCGGGGTACACATAACAACAACTTAAAGATGACTGGGGTAGAAAAAAACGCCGTAAAGATGACTGGGGTACATAACAGCGTCAAAAAGATGACTGGGTTACATAACAACGCCGTAAAAATGACCGGGGGACATAATAACGCCGTAAAGATGACCAGGTAGATAACAACGCCGGACGAATGACCGGTGTACATAACAACGCCGTAAAGATTACCGGGTAAATAACACCGCCATAAAGATGACCGGGGTACATAACAACGCCGTAAAGATGACCGGGGTACATAACAACGCCGTAAGGATGACCGGGGTACATAATGACGCCGTAAAGATGACCGGGGTAGCTAACAACTCAGTAAAGATGACCGGGTACAAAAGAACGCTGTTAAGGTGACCAGGTACATAACAACGCCGTAAAGATGACCGGGGTACATAACAACGGCGTAAAGATGACCAGGTACATAGCAACTCCGTAAAGATGACCGGGGTACATAACAACGCCGCAATAATGACTGGGGTACATAACAACGCCGTAAAGGTGACCAGGTACATAACAACGCCGTAAGGGGTACATAACAACGCCGTAAAGATGCCCGGGGTACATAACAACGGCGTATCGATGTCCAGATACATAACAACGCCGTAAGAATGACCGGGTACATAACAACGCCAAAAAGGGTACATAACAACGCCGTAAAGATGCCCGGGGTACATAACAACGCCATAAAGATGACCGGGGTACATAACAACGCCATAAAGATGACCGGGGTACATAACAACACCGTGAAGATGACTGGGATACATAACAACGCCATAAGGATTACTGGGATACATAACAACGCCGTAAAGATGACTGGGATACATAACAACGCAGTAAAGATGACCGGGGTACATAACAACACCGTGAAGATGACTGGGAAACATAACAACACAGTAAAGATGACCGGGGTACATAACAACACCGTGAGGATGACTGGGATACATAACAACGCCATAAGGATTACTGGGATACATAACAACACCGTAAAGATGACTGGGATACATAACAACGCCATAAAGATGACCGGGGTACATAACAACACCGTGAAGATGACTGGGATACATAACAACACCGTAAAGATGACTGGGGTACATAACAACACCTTAAAGATGACTGGGATACATAACAACGCCATAAAGATGACTGGGGTAGATAACAACACCGTAAAGATGACTGGGATACATAACAACACCGTGAAGATGAATAACAACACCTTAAAGATGACTTGGGTACATAACAACACCGTAAAGATGACCGGGGAACAAAACAACGCCGTAAAGATGGCCGGGGTACATGACAATGCCAAAAAGTTGACCGGGGTACATAACAACGCCAAAACGATGACCGAGGTACATAAAAACGAGATAAAGATGACCGGGGTACACATAACAACAACTTAAAGATGACTGGGATACATAACGACGCCATAAAGATGACTGGGGTACAAAACAACACTTTAAAGATAACGGGGGTACATAACAGCGCCAAAAAGATGACCGGGGTACACATACACGAGATAAAGATGACCGGGGTACATAACAATGCCAAAAAGTTGACCGGGGTACATAACAACGCTGTAAATATGACTGGGGTACAAAACACCCCCGTAAAGATGACCGGGGTACATTACAACACCGTGAAGTTGCCTGGGGTACATAACAACGCCGTAAATATGACTGGGGTACACAACACCGTGAAGATGACTGGGGAACATAACAAAACAACGCCGTAAGAATGACCGGGGTACATTACAACGCCGTTAGGATGACCGGGGACATAACAACGCCAAAAAGATGACCGAGGTACATAACAACGCCGTAAAGATGAGGGTACATAACAACACCTTAAAGATGACTTGGGTACATAACAACACCGTAAAGATGACTAGGGTACATAACACATAACAACGCCGTAAAGATGAGGGTACATAACAACACCTTAAAGATGACTGGGGGACATAACAACACCGTGAAGATGAATAACAACACCTTAAAGATGACTGGGGGACATAACAACGCCAAAAAGATGACCGAGGTACATAACAACGCCGTAAAGATGACCAGGTTCATAACAACGACGTAAGAATGACCGGGGTATATAACAACGCCGCAAGAATGACCGGGTTACACAACGACACCGTAAAGATGACCGGGGTACATAATCACCGTAAAGATGACCGGGGTACATTACAAGAGGTACATAACAACGCCGTAAAGATGAGGGTACATAACAACACCTTAAAGATGACTTGGGTACATAACAACACCGTAAAGATGACCGGGGAACAAAACAACGCCGTAAAGATGACCGGGTAAATAACACCGCCATAAAGAGGACCGGGGGACATAACAACGCCGTAAAGATGAGGGTACATAACAACACCTTAAAGATGACTTGGGTACATAACAACACCGTAAAGATGACTGGTGTACATAACAACACCTTAAAGATGACTGGGGAACATAACAACACCGTAAAGATGACCGGGATACATAACAACACCGTAAAGATGACTAGGGTACATAACACATAACAACGCCGTAAAGATGACCGAGATACATAACGACGCCGTAAAGATGACCAGGTTACATAACAACACCGTAAAGATGACCGGGATACATAACAACACCGTAAAGATGACCGGGGAACAAAACAACGCCGTAAAGATGGCCGGGGTACATGACAATGCCAAAAAGTTGACCGGGGTACATAACAACGCCAAAACGATGACTGGGTTACATAAAAACGAGATAAAGATGACCGGGGTTCATAACAACACCTGAAAGATGACTGGGGCACATAACAACGCCAAAAAGATGACTGGGCAATGCCAAAAAGTTGACCGGGGTACATAACAACGCCATAAAGATGACTTGGAAACATAACAACGCCATAAAGATGACTTGGAAACATAACAACGCCATAAAGATGAATGTGGAAAATAACAACGCCGTAAAGATGACCAGGAACATAACAATGCCGTTAGGATGACCGGGGACATAACAACGCCAAAAAGATGACCAGGTACATAACAATGCCGTTAGGATGACCGGGGACATAACAACGCCAAAAAGATGACCTAGGTACATAACAACGCCGTAAAGATGACTAGGTACATAACAACTCCGTAAAGATGACCGGGGTGCATAACAACGCCATAAAGATGACTGGGGTAGATAACAACGCCGTAAAGATGACTACCGGGGTACATAACAACGCCAAAACGATGACTGGGTTACATAAAAACGAGATAAAGATGACCGGGGTACACATAACAACAACTTAAAGATGACTGGGATACATAACAAAACAGTAAAGATGACCGGCGGACATAACAACACCGTGAAGATGAATAACAACACCTTAAAGATGACTGGGATACATAACAATGCCGTAAAGATGACTGGGGTACTTAACAACACCGTGAAGATGACCGGGATAAATAACAACACAGTAAAGATGACCGGTGTACATAACAACACCGTAAAGATGACCGGGGAACAAAACAACGCCGTAAAGATGGCCGGGGTACATGACAATGCCAAAAAGTTGACCGGGGTACATAACAACGCTGTAAATATGACTGGGGTACAAAACACCCCCGTAAAGATGACCGGGGTACATTACAAGAGGTACATAACAACGCCGTAAAGATGACTGGTGTACATAACAACACCGTTAAGATGACTGGGGTACAAAACAACTGCATAACAACGAGGTAAAGATGACCGGGTACATAACAACACCGTAAAGTTGACGGGGGTACATAACAACGCCGTAAAGTTGACTGGGGTACATAACAACCCCGTGAAGATGACTGGGATACATAACAATGCCGTAAAGATGACTGGGGTACTTAACAACACCGTGAAGATGACCGGGATATATAACAACGCCAAAAAGATGACCGAGGTACATAACAACGCCGTAAAGATGAGGGTACATAACAACACCTTAAAGATGACTGGGATACATAACGACGCCATAAAGATGACTGGGGTAGATAACAACGCCGTAAAGATGACTGGTGTACATAACAACACCTTAAAGATGACTTGGGTACATAACAACACCGTAAAGATGACTGGTATACATAACAACACAGTAAAGATGACCGGTGTACATAACAACACCGTAAAGATGACTGGGGTACATACCAACACCGTAAAGATGACTGGGGTCCATAACAGCACCGTAAACTTTACTTGGGTACTTCACAACGCCGTAAAGATGACTAGGGTACATAACACATAACAACGCCGTAAAGATGAGGGTACATAACAACACCTTAAAGATGACTGGGATACATAACAAGTACATAACAAGGCAAAATGGATGACCAGGGTACATAAAAACGAGATAAAGATGACCGGGGTTCATAACAACACCTGAAAGATGACTGGGGTACATAACATCACCGTGAAGATGACTGGGATACATAACAACACCGTAAAGATGACAGGGGTACATAACAACGCCGTAAGAATGGCCCGGTACATAACAACGCCGTAAAGATGACAAGGTACATAACAACGCCGTAAGAATGACCAGGTACATAGCAACTCCGTAAAGATGGCCGGGGTACATAACAACGCCATAAATATGACTGGGGTACAAAACAACCCTTTAAAGATAACTGGGGTACATAACAGCGCCAAAAGATGACTGGGGTACATAACATCACCGTAAAGTTGACTTGGGTACATAACAACGCCGTAAAGATGAGGGTACATAACAACACCTTAAAGATGACTTGGGTACATAACAACACCGTAAAGATGACCGGGGTACATAACAACGCCGTAAATATGACTGGGGTACAAAACAACCCCGTAAAGATGACCGGGGTACATTACAACACCGTAAAGTTGCCTGGGGTACATAACAACGCCGTAAAGATGACTGGGGTACATAACAACACGTTAAAGATGACTGGGGTACATAACAGCACCGTAAACTTTACTTGGGTACCTCACAACGCCGTAAAGATGACTAGGGTACATAACAACGCCGTAAAGATGACCGGGGTACATAATCACCGTAAAGATGACCGGGGTACATAACATCACCGTATGTATCCAAAATTGGGCGGATAAATTGTTAGTTAAATTCAACCCTGTTAAAACGAAAGCATTACTTATTTCAAACATTGAGCTTGATTATGCTATGGATATTTATTTTAATAATGTCAGTGTTGACATGATAAAATAGCCTTGGTGTTTAAGTCACATACTGTAATAAAGGAAAGTTTATATCAAACGTGTTTGAACACTACACAAGGGGTGACCTCTTGTTGCGTTGTCCTAGTTCCGGTGCCGATTGGGACGTACAGCATGCTCTCGAGATCGGATGACGCCGGCCGGTTGACGATTGGGCGCGCAAACTGTCCACCAGGGGACCCGTAGAAGTCAAAAGGGTTTTGGTCAGCTGGACGTATTTCACATGACCGACTGGCATTGGGCTGCGGTAGATCCACTTTTAGTTCAGATTGGTGGTTATTCCGTTTGGCCTCCTTGATTTCTCGTGGATATTGCTCATGTATACTGTACCGTCTTTTCATGTGTTATTTGGCAGATGCAACATTGATGCATCTGCCAAATTACCCACGATAAGACAGTAAAGTTTAGCTCTATCTTTTCTGTTAATGAATTTGGCCACGATTGACCTCGGCCTGCCGTCAAATCTCTTCCATAGCCGATGAACCACATTGCAATGAACATCCTTATTTAGTTTCAATACATTTTATTGTATTCAACAACAGGATTAGACAACAGGCATAGCCTATATTAGTCTTCTTCTCCATGCATCCTCATTTATCTCTAGTTCCGTTTTTCTATCAAGATATCCTTCATCGATCTGTTGGATCTCTAAAATCATCTCCCAAAGATCGTTTCAGTGGTCTCGCGCCATGTTCCGCTCATGTTCCACGTTACGGATTCTTTCTTCCATGAAAGTGTTGTTAATCTCGACCCCTTCTAGCCGCTCACTGTTTATTTTGTATATCCTCTAAGCTCAGATATCGAGTTTTCAGTTTTGTCAAATTGAGTCGCAATTGATGATAGTCTATTCACCATGTGATCAAGGGTGTCTAGTTTTGATAGCCTGTTGTAAATATCCTATACTGTCAGTTCAATGTTTAATGGCTGGTGCGGGGGCTGGCGGTGAGGTATTGCACGCCTGTTCCGTGGGGATATGACCGTTACCCATTTGATGAAATGTGGCTTGGGGATTTCAGAAGAGTTGTACCGGAGACACTGGGTGGAAAGGATGGAAGTGGACACCCTTAAAGTAAGTTGCGAGCTACCTCTACAGTCTAGCACGTTGGTTGGCAGTAATAGACATATCTCATTTTGAGGCAAACCTAGGACGGAGCGTAAGGACGGACACTAACACTAGCAAATTCAGGGGATATCTCATTATAATTTTTCATTACATCCGTTATAAGGATTCCTGTCCCCTTGAACGCGACAAAGCACCAGCTAATCCTCCTTCAGTGTTTTTCTCTTTTTTTCTTCATTCACATTCCCTGGTTTACATGATGACAAATGAGTAACTTCACTTTACTGAGCTCAGCTTACTTGTTTTCTATTCAGAGATGATTTACTACAGCTATACTTCAAAACCATTCGTGCATGCTACATTTGTTGGCAGTATTATTTGAATCCGAAAGGTGCATTTGCACGAATTCACTCTCCTATGTCATGTTACACGAGAAAAATACCACGAATCCCGTCGATAAAAAGCGAAATGAAAAATGGAGGACGAACATATTTCTGCTTTCTTTTGTGCTCATTTTACTCCCTTTTTGACCAACTGATATACCTCATAAAGTGTTAAAACAGGTGACAGAGCGATAATGGTCACTTCGCCGCCTTCATGTTGCCATTGCGAAGGAACAACCATTAATGTGCATCAAAGAGACGGTAATAAGCGTTCTTTCGTCACACACCCCTCTATACAATAATGCAAAGGAACGAAGAGACAGAGATGTACGGAACAAGTACCTTCAGCTTAGCACTAACTTTAGTAGACACCGTGTAAGCGTTGAACATTTGTCTTTTAATAAGGCCATATCGTGCCATGGATCTTTGAGGCGCAATAAGTAACGGTTAATTTGATCTCAATATCATCACTGCCGTGCTGGTGAAATACCTGCTCCTTCCTAGCGAGCTCTTTTTGACTCGGGGGACACTTGCTCATTCGGCGTCAGAATGACAACAAAGGTCCCAGATGAGATCCAAATTTGTGAGATTGAAATGTAATTTGCAGGAAGCGTACAAAGACGATAGAGTCCTCCTGTATGTTCCGTGCTTTCTGGCATGGCATTTCTGTTTCCACTAGCATATGGTTTATTACATTGTTATATACAATTATACTTATTTGTTACTATCAATCATTTTCATCATTTCTATAGACAATCATACATAGAGAGAGTGGATATTTTTATGGTTAGAGAGAGTGTGTGAGAGAGAGATAGAGTGAGGACGGGGATGGGGTTACTAGAATCTGTTAGAGTCACGAACGTATTGCTGAGTATGCATGGATATCGTCGTTTTTTCTGTTCCGAAAGAAATGCATCTCCAAACAGAAGTACATTCAGTTCACGATAAAGCTTTTTTTTTCGACATAATTATCACAGATAAAAAATGAAATGGTTTGTGTCTTCAATAGGGAAGCCACATATACTACAACGTTGGTAAACAGTAAGATTAACACGATACAGATCACTTTTCAAAGTACTAGAATGGTTTCTTAATTTTGTATGTAAAATGTTATTTTTTCTTTCACCATAGAGAAAGTCATTTGGTTCAAGAGGCACATTTACGCCTCGAATGGCGTTTCTGAATGCTAGTAGATAACTAGCTCCACTGTCTAATGGTAGAAGGAAATAAGGATACGTCAGATAATTCAAGTCTGTTGTTAGGTAAGTTGAAGTTTTCAGCGTTTCGCATATTATAGTTAGAGTTATCGACAAGGGAAGGGAGTAGAGTGCTGAGATAGTTAGGAGAAATATTATTGTGGATTTTATAAAATAATTGAAGTTTTCGACGGGATATCCGATTGGCTTGAGAATCCCATCCAGTTTCATTATGTATAGATTGTCTACTGGTTAAAGACGATAAACCAATGACAATACGCCCAGATTCAAGTTGTAGCTTTTCTAATATGTCTGTATCAGTAATAGAACAACCACCCAAAAGTTCACAACAAGATTCTAGAATAGGAAGCATAAAGGGTATATATATCTTATTCAATGTACAGATGTTTACAGATGTCGGCACAACAATTCAGACCAGCGCGTAGATATTCACCTGTCCAGAGCACAGGAACCCGATAATTTGTTACAGCTACATTTGGACCTAAACTAAGGTGTTCAATGTAATTTTACATGTTTTAGGGGTTAAGATCGACTTTTGGTAAAAATGTCACCCCGATGATGTAAAACATGTCAAATTATAGTATGAGCACCTTAGTTAAGGTCGAAATGTAGCTGGAACAAATCCGCAGGTCCTTGTGGTACTGATCAAGTGTATACCCGGTAGTAAACTAAATTGATTAATAACACCGGGCCGAGTTTGGATCGGCAAGGTATTTATGGGTGTACTAAGGTAAACAGCTGAAGTGTTTGACATTTCAACATAAGTCGAACAATACTGAATAATCTTCCGGACAACCTACACACAAACAAAGCACATTAGTGACAAGGTTTCATTAGTTGTAAGAGGGTGAACTATGGATATGAAGTTTCTGCCTCCATTATGAAGATCATACTTTTTTGAGACCTATTGCCGTAAGTCGATGCTCATAAATTAATATATGTTGCTTGTATAATTGAAACTGGACGGAACCGTTCACGTTGATATAATAATGGGATTCTTCTAGCATAGAAGTAATAGTCTTCTTGGATTGAAGAAATTGATACAGACTCACTGTGTGGTTATATTGTATCCGAATTCGATCATCTGATCGACGACAGCCGGAACTAGGTGGCGCCATCGGTAACGTCCGGTTATGTCCCATTTACAGCAGATTTTGTCAGATTCTTATTGAGGCAATGCAAAACTAATTAATAAATTTATTTAAATTAATTTCATAATTGTACAACGGCTTTCTTTCTTATAATATTCTAAATAAGAAGCATAGCCGATGTAAAATTAATAACAGAATGTTTTTGATGTATGTAAGACATCAGTCCTTACTATAAACGTTATTTGCTTCACAACAATTATGAAACAAGTTATTTCAACTTATATTAATCATTCTTGTTGGCCCGGATGTTAGCGCCCGGGGGTCTTAGTGTGGAAGGAAACCGGAGTACCCGGAGAAAACCCACGCGGTCGCGGCCATACCTTTTCACGTCCGATCGGGTAATCGAACCCCGGTCGCTTTGGTGAAAGGCAAGTGCGCTATCCACTGCGCCACCCGAACACCCAATCCTTATTGGTATCGCGCACCATTCAACTTGTCTGCGATACATCTGGCAGTTGTACCAGTAGGTATGCCGCATATATGGTATTTATTTATAATATCATTCATTACCTTCATTTTTTCAGCAAACCAATTTCCAGTTTCAAAATTAATGTGTTCACATCAACGTTCATCAGAGTGTTATTCTTTGAAAAAAATATTTGAAGACCTTCTAAATATATTATAATTATTACGAAAATATCGAGTTCAGATGTGCGGTATCACGTAAATAAAAGAATTGTTAGCTAGAAAACTAACAGTTAAGTCGATCAGCTTTTGTCTGTCGCATTATTTATGCTGCAGATAACATTGCTTATTTACCTTAACGCCTTGTGTACATATAAACGGCAACCTTAAAAGGATATGGTCAACGTTAATCATAGTTATACGCTGTAATGGGTTCGAGAGAACTTGTAACAATAAGTAAAAGTATAAAGATTTGTATATGTGGTTCTAGTATCACATTATGTCAAAATATATTGTTACTCAGTAAATCTATAAATTTTATTGATAAAAACAATGCCGATGTCTTATAAAATGGACAAATCATAGTATGTCCTCGGCCGCCGGATCTATAAATGTAAATACTATGTACTGTTTTTAGACGAAATTCAACTATACAACTGACGTTCTTTTCAATAATGGATGCTATTAAATTTTGTTATGGTTGACGACTAAGGAACACCCTACATAATCACTTGTTTAATGTCTGAGAAAAGTGTGTAAAAAATGACTTTTGATGTGTAGACTGTGTGTACATAGTTGTACATATGTGCAATCAGAATGAGGTCTAAAGATTCCTCTGGGAGCAAATCAAAAGCCAGTCAGATGTTAGCACATGATGTACGGAACAGGATTCACCACATTTTTGGACACCATGATAGATGCTCCGATTTTTGTAGACTTAGATCAGCTACAGGAAACCATGAAACTGAACTGGGTTAATCTAATGAATGCGAGAAAATTGAGAAGAAAGGTGATGATAGGTGCAACAATGTATTTGAAAACCAAGTGAATATGTGGATGGAGGGATCATCTGTTGAAGCCCAAGAGGCATCTAGGTAAGATACTTGTTTGCAGACTTTGGATAAAGATATTATCCAGGATGTTTCCATTCTTCTGGATCAAATAGCATCCAAGAGTGATAGACTCCTGGGGAATGTTACCACACCCTTAGCAGAGTGCTGGATGCATGTACGAACCAAATTTGATGGTGACAAACTATAAAATCTCTGCAACAGAGAAACATGACACACAAGATGTTATGGTGGATCATTGAGATCTAACTTAGGTCCGAATTGGTCACCATTAATTTGGCAGCAGGTCACTGGAACAATATCAGGGTACTTCTTCATCAAACTGTACAACACAACATCAACTTCATGTCTACAAACAAGTTAAAAAGACACCACATGTGATTCAGTCCAGATGGAAAGACAAAAATGTCATCAGTTGTTCAAAGTAGGTCAAAGAAGGCACGGATTTCTTATGGTGGGGTTGATGTTGTACCAGATTTGGATTCTAACCAATTGCAAAGAAAACAGCAAGAATTTATTGAGAACACATCAATGTTCCTGATCAGCAGCTAGCAGGTTTTGAGAGTTTTACAAGACAGCAATCTGCATCAAGAACATGGCAAAAAGATCACCTCATCGTATACTAGTCACCCCATCAGTTCGTGGATTGCTGTATGGGCCATTCAAGAGGAATGCACATACCAGGAAATGTCTGCAGGAAGAAAGGGTCGCTATTCAGGAATATGTGCTGAAGAAAGCGGAGCAAGGGGGCGAATACTCAGGTATTACCAATAGGATAGTTGTCAGTTCAAGACACAATTTTCTAGCCAGGGGTTGCTTGCAGATACCAAACTACCTTGGATTGATTTGTAGTTAGAACTGTAAATCTTTACCAGCTTCATATTGAACGTATCTATAGAGATGCTGATCTGTGGACAAGCCAAATGCTTCCTGAGTGGTCAGCATTTTACTCCAGTGTTTTGTTACCACAGTTACCATGTCCGCGCGTAGGCAAAAGTCCAGGAATACGAGAACCTGAGTTTGGGTAGGTTTGTGTTGGAAAGAACTACATGTAATTGTCTAACATAAACGTTTCTGTTTCCATATCAATTCCAATTGAGTATTCAATTTGAGTATCACTGTGATATTAGCGCTTTGTCAATTATTTTAAATCTTTCTTCAAGTTTGTGTACTAATTAAGTCTGTAGAGCTAGTTAGTATATGATAACATGTGTTGAGATACATATACACCAATCGCAATAGATAGAAAAACTGTATTTAGATTTGTGAACCGGTAAAAAGCTGAATGAAAGTTTATCTTGTGTTTGTATTTTGTATCGTTTCAGCATCAGGAGACGGCTCGTAGTTCTAGATCTAAAGCAAGAAGGAAGCTAAAGAAACATCAGGGAAAAGGGAAAAAATAAGAGACGACCAAAGTGATTGCCCCCGTAATCAACAGTACTTTCTGCTGTTGGAAAAAGGGTATTGCTAATATTTGCTATGCTGCATTTGATATATACGTTTTCAGTAACTAATGACTAAATGCGTGTTTTTATGACTAAATGGTGTTTTCTTTTTATTGATTTCAGCCTGTAAATTACAAGCCAGAATGAAACCTTTCTAATTAGAATATTTGGTGATTTCTAAATATTGTGATTTTTTAATTCTTCTGAAGACCAGAAGAGCTGATGCAATGTCTGTCTATCTGTCACTCTGAGACATGTGACCTTTACCATTATAGGCATGTTATGACAATTACTTGCAAATGAGAATGGTGGTTGGTCTTATGGAAACTTCAAAATTGTATCACCAGTAGAATGTCTGTTTCATCAGGAACTCTTGTTGGCCAAAATTACGTCTAGAAATTATGGTGAATACCAAGTGGTCACTATTGAATGAGCCACTTTTAATAAATTATGTGTTTCGATGTTTCATTTTTTCCAGAAGTGTGAGGTCCAAAGGTAAAATTGAATTCTTTGGTAGGCGTATATCTCACCTATGTATTACTGATGATTTGAGTGGGAAAACGTCAAGGTTCCAGGAAAATATGCTTTCAGTATTGTCTGGATCTGATGATGAACCCAATGCAGAATATGAGATTGTATATGATGGGGATGATGAGCCATATACTGTTGATAATTATGTCCCCCAAACATATTGTTTTTGCTCCGTTTCTTCTTCTTATAATTTTTTTTTCTTATTCTTATTTCTTCCAATTTCTTCCGACATTTTCCACATTCAACGAAACTTCACACGAGAGTTCGTGTATGACAGGCGGTGCGCAAGAGCATTTTCATTTTTCGATCGGTCATCCGACTGATTGGTCGAAATTTAGACATTGTCCGATTTCAATCAAATTTGGTATGTAGGTGAATCATGGGACAATGATTACTTCCGTAAGTAAGGTTTCACATTTCAACAAAATGACCGCCGTTTTTTCACTCTGATTGATAAATTTAAATACTGTCCGATTTGGATGGCTGCTGTGTTTGTTTTGTGATTAAGCAAAATAGCTGCCAATTCCTGGCCTCTGATTGGTCGAAATTTAGATATTGTTTGATTTAAAAAAAAGAAAGTATATAGGGGTATAAGGGGACTGCTAATAAAACCGCATATAATTTGTTACCATATCAACCACACGGATGCTTCTGATTGGTGGAAATTCAGATATTGTTCGATTTTGATGACAATTGGTACATGTATATATGGTATTAGGGGACTGCAAATTCAATCGCATAGGTATCGTTGCCATAGCAACCACACAGACACTTCTGATTGGTCGCAATTCAGAAATTGTGCGATGTCACTCAAATTTAGTATGTATATTGAAAGTGTATTATGGCATTGCGCACCTTTTCTGATGCATCTTTGCGAGGCAGTTTGGGGGATATCTGTAATCTGTAATTCCCCATTACAATTAGTATTTGTTTGTACAAAGGATACATAGACAACCATGTGAAATTTATAGATCTATAAAGTGCGATAATTTGTGTACAACGTTTTGAGCAAAGTTATTAACTTGTAATTTCAATTCGAAATGCGTGTTTCACTTTCATCTCACAGATAGTGATATGCATGACCTATTGTGTTTAACTTCTCTTTCAATGGGATTTACATCATTGACTTTACAGTCAGTGCGGAAAATACTGTTTACCTTGGTGAAAAAAATAACATCACATAGTGAAGTTTTCTTGCAGGTCTGTCACCGTATTTCCACAGCAAAGTAGGTTCAAAATTGTCAGTTCTGTCAATATATATCATAAGGTCCATTTTGGTATCGTAACTACAGTATAAGTTTCTCTTTTATTTATTGCAGAATCGGTATATGTTTATCCTCCCAGATGCATACATGTTTATCCTCCCAGTGAGCCACCCACATGTTCTTTTTCACTTGTATGAAGGAAATTACTGGAAACCTGAATACTGCTCATCTATATAGATGTTGGCAGTTGCTGTAACATTTTTCACCTTTCTCGAATATTGGATACTGACTGCTTTCAGGACTTGGCTTTTAAAGGTAAGTGAGATCTAATGAAATGACAATCATGTCATTCACTAAATATTCGGTCTCAATTCGGAAGACGATAGTTAGAAGTGTGTAAATCAACTTGGCAACGAATTGTAAATGGTAGACATCCTGGTGACGCTAAGGGAGATATTTCATATAATAATAGAATTAGAACTAGTTTAATTGATTATGATATAGTGGATGACATCGACTTCGATATTATCCGATTACTTAAGACGAGTTAATTTAGCCCTTTTTCAAACCATGCACGTGTATGTTTTTTCGTTATGTAGCGTTTATAATAGGATTATAGAGGATCACACACAAGGAAACATTACTCATGTTAATAGTCATATGCACAGAAAACGGAATGAGGGAAATAAAAAGATAATTTGTGAGGCATTACAGGAAAGTATTGATAGGTTATTGCAAACTTAATGTCACTCAGTATGACCAAGAAGGGATGAACATGTGTGTTAGGAATTTTACTTTTATGTTAAATGCACCATAATAATAGCAATATATTGTATCGAAACAAAAAGTAATACGTATACATGTAAGATAAAAAATCCAGAAGCTTGAATGCAAGCTAAAAAGAAGAATACAAATGTCAACAAGGAGATATGAAGAATTATGTGAGAAAGCACAATCCTCGACTTTTTTATATTATTATTATTAAAAATGTATACTTAAGACAGGGTGTTTCCCATCTTCATGGTCGATACAAAATATTGTACCTGTTTTAAAGAAAGGTGACATTAATAACATAGACAATTACCGCGGTATTACATCCTTGAGTTGTGTAGGTAAGCTTTTCACAACCGTGCTAAATGATAGGCTGGTAGCATTTGAAATGAAATGTAATAAAGTAACAGATGCCCAATTTGGGTTTAGAAAAAATCTACCCACTGTTGACGCTATTTTCGCTCTACAGACATTAATAAATCGTATTTAAAAATATAAAAAAACCTCTTTATTGTTGCTTTGTGGATAATACAAAGGCATTTGCTTTTGTAAATTATCAAAACCTGTGGTACAAATTGATTAGAGAAGGAATTCGCGGTAAAATGCTTAAAGTTATATGATCACAATGCTGTGTAGAATATGGAGGTACATTTTCCAATTATTTCGATTGTGATAATCACCTCTTTTATTTGCCCTCTATGCAAATGACCGTGAGATGCATTTTTAACTGGTAATTGTCCATCGATTGAAACACAAGATATTAATATGGTTTTGTTGATGTACGCTGATGATATGGTGGTCATAGCAGAAACCCCGGAAGGTTTGCGTTAAATGCTAGACTCCCTGTCAATTTATACGTATACATAAGATTTGACAGTAAATACCCCAGCAAACTAAATTGTTGTATTCCGAAATGTGGGCGAGTTGAAAGAGAACGAAATTTGGTGGTGCATGTATAAAGGCAAGAAATCAGAAGTAGTTGACACTTTTAATTATTTAGGAGTGCTACTTAATTTTAACGGGAAATTCAGAGTTACTCAAAAACAAATTGCTGACAAAGGGAGAAAGGCAAGCTTTGCAATTGTTAACGTTTGCAAAAATAATTATTTTAATATAGAAACGCAGTAAGCTGTGTTTGACACGTATGTAAATAGCGTACTTAGTTACGGGGCGGAAGTATGGGACTTCCATGCAGCACCGGATATAGAAAAGTTACATGATATTTTTTACAAGCGTATATTGGGGTTACATAGGAATGCAAGTAAGTATATGGTATATAATGAACTAGGAAGGTATCCTTTGAACATAGTTCGTAAATTTCGTACTTTTAAATATTGGAGAAAATTAAGAAATTCTGAAAACAGTAACAGTAATTATGCTACTCCGAGATGCGATGTAACAAGGATATATGGTTAAGTACGGTGAGGCAATAGTTGTACAGAATTGGTCTGAGTTATGTGTGGGAAGCCCCGAGTCTAAATAAAGATGTATTTTTATAAGTAAGAAACGCATTTGTGATATATTTAAACAAAAATGTCTTGAAAAAATGACATCCTCTGCAAAAGATGCACTGTATCAATATTTGTAGTTTTTGACTTCAGTTTTATTTGTCAAATCTATCAATGTCAATTATGTCAAATATCTTTGTAAAATAAGACTATCAGCACACAAATTAAATATTTATGTAGCAGGTATAATGTATCGAAAGAGGAAATAGATTGTGTACATTTTGTAAGATGAATGAGGTAGAAGATGAATTTCATTTAATTTTGAAATGTCCTTGTTAAACAGACATATAAGATATACAAGATATTATGTAAATCGTATACGCATATTTCAATTTATCCAACTGCTAAATAGTTATAGGTTATCAGAAATTAGAAACTTTGGTAAATATCTAGTGCATGCGAACAAGAAAATGTCTCAACCTCTTTAATTAGTGATTACTGTTCACTCTCCACTATTATAATGTACAAATATAATATCTAGTTATATAATGTTGCATGGATGCATATTGTATTGTACCGTATGTATGTTGTAACTGATAAGTCGGAAGACGTAAAGTAATGATAAACTTGAAAAAAATTATCAGGATGTTTTACGATCCAGCACTTACAGGTGGATATTAAGATTACCGGTTTATCTAAGATCTACTGCACATGGGTTCGGTTTTGTTTGATCTGTTTCTGATTTACAGTTGAAAAATACGTAACTCTACTTTAGAATAGTCTGTAATGAAATATATGTCATGATATATGTAGAAACTATTCAATTCTGTAGATGTTGCATAGATAAAAACAAACTGGGTAAAACAGTAACGTATGCGTGCTGAGGCGATCTTAATACACTGACTTTGTGTGGCTAGTTTTACTATCAGCATTGATTTAATCGCGCTGTTTGATGAAATGAACGCCTATTTTATCTCAACAATCGAACACAACACAATGTTTAAACGTTAGATTTCCATTACACATGTTCTATAGCGCATGCGCTGTTGTATAATATTTTTATCTGAAAAACCCAACGACAAAATTTATAAAAGGCACAGTGCACAGTACACGAGTGACGTGGTTTTCTAGTGAAGAAAACGTAAGTAATGGTGTTGAGTCGTGAAATGTCTATGATTTTACCTGATTTTACCTGACTTTATTTTACATGTTAACCGAAATTGTTGGATACGTTATGACGATTACATCATAAACTATATTATAAAATTATGTAGTATCTTTTGCGATAAATCACCAAGTCTGAGAGCGCCGACAATGTCTAAAATGCCAATTATTTTAGATAAATCTTTGCAAGTGTTGAACTTTTTCTGTTTTGCAAGGTCCTCTCTTTTTTTTCTTATTTTTCTACAAGGTAAATATGTTTTCCCCTTAAGCTGCGCTATCAAAGACTGATACACCAACTAATAAGATTTATCCTGTTCTGTGTCAATTTGACACAACAGGTGCCATTTCCGATGAACAAGACACGTCCGATGTACACAATTTGCCCTTAATCATTTGGGTTTGGAGTTATTAAAGTCATTATTTTTTATCTGGTTTGTTTTTTGACTCCTGTGGTTACTTTCTGTTCGTATGAAATTTGCTTTTTAACTTTGTGTATATTATATGTTAATTAAATAAAATGGCCAACATGAAAGAAGTCATAAAATGCATTGTTTATTACCAGAAATAAATACAGTTTAAACTAAAAGCAGTCAATCCATAATTAATAAATTGTTGAAAACATAAGTTGTTGCGAACATATCCTGCATCATTGTCACATTCAATCTCCTTAATATGGGAGGAAAGCCCCAATAAATTGAACAAGAAAAGATTATGCATGTGTTCGAGGAAAGTGTATCTGAATGATGTAGATGTATCAATTATATGTTTTCATTTTGAACGATTTATGAATGGTCAACAACTCCTGATTCATATTTACATTTCAATAAATAAGCATTTTACTCACAGTTGTTCATATTGTAACAAACAAACCATATTGTAGTATGTAAGGTGTTAGAGGTTTCCTAATAAGAGATCATTGGTTATCATGTAAATCCAACTCGAGTTAATTAATTTTCGATTTGTATAATGACTCGAGGTTCACCGAGTGTATTTAAAAATTTGCTGGGTAAATGCAAAACGAACGTTTTCTTTTCTTTAATCAACTAAGAAAGGATACAATTTTACCCGGTTTGGGGTTTATATCCAATCATATGGCACGTGTTAAATGTTATCTGGATAAACGTTACATAATACAGTGTTATATATATCACTCATACTTAACGTCAGGTACCAGGGACCGTACTTCATGGGATAGTTAGATTGTGTAATTTTAACTATGTTTTTTCTTTTCTTTTGAACAACTTAAAAGGATAAACTGTCTCGGGTGCACTAATATATGGGGATTACCATACCTGTGATAATGCAGTCACTTTTTCACGTGTCAATCGGAATTTATAACACCATATTCAAAGTTATTTATAACCATTTACCTTTCCCTTTCTCTTTGTCATTTGAGAGCAGAGCTATTTACCAGGTCTATTCACCATGGACTACATTAACTATTCTTTGTAGAACGCTAGGATTGATTTATTCTTTTCAGTATTACTCATCAATTTTGCATGAAAACCTCTTAATATGTGTATTTAAAATACCTCATTTCAAAAACTCTCCTCCTTTAATGCATTATTATTTCGTACCTGAACAACATCCATATTAATATTTACACTGACAACTATTCTTTCCCTAAAAGTAAGTGTGACCTGCTATTAGGTTTTACGTTTTACTTTGCGTACCTACGAAAGTAATCCAACTGGAAATGAACAAGGATGGAAACATAGATAACAGCAGAAGTAAGGTACATCTCTTAAATCTCTTAAACTACAGTTAACATTGAATGCATTTCAGTTTAACCTGTATAATAATTTGAAGGCAAACAAGAGGGAAACGTCTTGGGAAAACGAAAACTCTCTCTCTCTCTCTCTCTCTCTCTCTAGCCATGTCCTTAAGTTTCACATTCAAATATATCAACGATGTGTTGTCTTTTATTAACAACAAAGAATCATTGACCACATCGGTCATATATACGATCTTGAAATCAGGGACACCGCAGACTCTTCAACTTTAGCCGCTTTTCTCTATCTTTATTTACAACATGGCAACATGGCTTACTACTAAACTGTAAGATAAGCGGGGCGATTTCGACTTTCCGATCATGAACTTTCCCTCTCTTGATAGCAACATCCCTACCGTCCCCTGCCTTCGTTGTTTACTTAGCGCATTTGATTCGGTACTCAGGAACTGCTCCGAACATCATGACTCCTACGATAGATGTCGTTTACAAAGATGCAGATTGATGAAAACTTTGGACAAGCTTCTACTTTTCAAGGGTATCCATATACATATTTCCTTTGTTGATATTTTACAACAGCTTTGTGGATTTTGAGTTAGAATCGTGGTTTTGTTGACTCTTTAGTATGTCTTTTTTCCCACATCATTTCCATTCTTCTTTGTTTTTGTTTAGTTTCGTAGAACTGCAGGACATGGGGAATAAAGTTAGCCATCAAGTATTCGAACCTGACGCAGATCTGGATGAATGTAAAGTATTTTTTTAATTACAGAGAAAATGTTTTTGTTGTATGTGCAGCTGAAATTTTCTTCTTGTGCAAAACATCATCTCGATAGTATGTGTGACATATAAGTTAGAATATACAACTTATTGTAAACATTAAATTTATCATTAGAAATATGTAGCGCTATATCTCAGGTAGATACGTTTTAAATATGATTTTATTAACGAATGTGCTTAAGTGTTGCTTTTATACATCAATGAAACAAGATTGCATCTGTATCTACTTTGTCCATATATATATATATATATATAGTAGATAATAAATAAATAAGTCCTTGCGAAGGAAAATATAGAATAAAAACAATTTTTTCAGATCGTCCGCCACACATCATTTTTCAGATCGTCCGATCGTGTGATCGCGGACGATCTGAAAAATTTGTTTTTATTCTATATATATATATATATATATGTTTGGAAAGATAAATACATATAACAAGATTTTGTGTATATCAAAGCATATTTCCATGTTTAAATTTGAACTTAAACAACACATTTAATATTAAAAGATTTGTTAAATAAGCAGTAAAAAATCTTCCTCAATCATATATGTTTATAGTTGATGTTTTACCACCGGAGCCCCCTACAGAGTTAGAACTACAAGCTAGACAAATCCTCCCAGCCGAGCATGATTATCCATTTGAAAATATTGTATTTGAAGGAGGCGGAAGCAAGGGGATGGCCTACTGTGGTGCGGTTCGGGTACGTTTTATGAAGTTATGCATGACTTATATATATAATACACAATCCTGTTATCATTTGTTCCATTTTCTCAACTTCAACAACTAAACAAGTTTGTCAAACCTTTTCCAGTTTTGTCATTTAAATTTATTTAATGCTACTAGCCGATTTCACAATATTTGAGATAAAAAAAACTGAAGCTAGTTTATCTTCTGATGTATGTTCACATATCCTGTGATAGCACATATAAGATACCTTCTTTGCAATATGTGTATGACATCTTTTGAAATTCCATTAGATATTTCCATGTGGCTCGGTGGAATGTGACGTCTTGACGTGCTACTTTATGCCAACTTTATTTCGAATTAGCTTATGTTCAAATTCAGTTCTTATATCCATTAATACTTAAGGACTTCCACATCGTGTACAATCACCGTTCTTTTACGGTGTGATTTGATTTGTGTTGTCTAGATCATTTCGACCCGAATGTAAGGGTCACTCATTGCTGATAACCTTCTTTTTTATCGTAAATCTGATAAATCAGTGACGACGAATTTGAAGAAGGTAGTAACAACCGATACCATTAGAAATTTTTGCAAGGACAATATTTAAAGTAAGCAAATTTATTACACACTGGAAAAATAGATATTTGACCTCGAACATGCTGATAAGAAATCGATTATGTCGAACTTGTATGCATATACTCAGTTTTTTTAGTATGACGATTTTATAGCACTGTTTTCCGGAAAAGATTGTTTGTTTTATTGCATTTTCTTTATCTTTTATTAATGTCAATTTATTACCTACTTATCTTAATAAATTAACCTCAGAAAATTGAACTAAGCAATGACGTTATATTGAGGGTATATTGGTAACAGTGTACAGTGGCCATATGTGATATTTTTGTACAATGAATTACCCATGTAATATTACATGTATCAAAATAAAAAAAAAACAGCACTAAAATTGGCATAAACATGATGAAGTGGACTATGTGGGCTTCATATTTAAAAAAAAAACGAATTTGGTTTGAGACTACATTTTTGGCCATTTACAAATCTGTGTCTACAAAACAAAAGCTAGCTTTTCATGTAGTCTATTTTTGTAAATATTGACAACAATACCAACGGTCTTTACGACGGTATTCTATATAATGGTGCCATCCAGTTATACACCTGTATGCGATTTTCTACTACAGTGATGTCATACATATTTCATAATTTCTACTTTCAGGCACTTGAAAATATAGGTTTGTTTCCACAAATCAAACGCTTTGCTGGCACCAGTGCCGGTGCTATCACTGCCGCCTTGCTCTCAGCCGGATACAATTCACATGACATCGAAACATTCATGAAGAAAGACCTCTCCAAAAATTTCATGCTCGGTCTGTAATAGTATACTTAACGGAAGGTTTAACTTAAGGTAGACTGTATTCTGATAATATTTAACGAAATTTGTTTCAAGTACAACATTCTATCTTTTATCAACAGGCTAAGATTCACCATGATGTTCCTGCTGTTTTCTTTTATCCTTGATTCAAGACTGTATCGATCACTGACGCTTTGGTATCTAAACTCGTTTTACTTGTACAGCGTGAGAAGCTTCGGAAATTCTGTACGTTTAGGGTACTTAACCATTACATACACCCTTTTTAACTACTTTACTGGTACACACTCTTTTGTTGTTGTTGGATAGACCTATTGCATACTTGTTAGTGATAAAACAACCCTCTGTTGAGCAGCCACTTTTCATGTGGATACTCTACCTGACTGTTACATCTCGTTTTTGGTGGATAATCTACCTGACTGTTACATCTCCTTTTTGATGGATACTCTACCTGACTGTTACATACATTTCCTTTTTGGTGGATACTCTACCTGACTGTTACATACTATTCCTTTTTGGTGGATACTCTACCTTGCTGTTACATACGTCTCCTTTTTGTGGATAGACTGCTGGAAGTTAACGCACATCTCCTTCTTGTGGATAGACTGCCGGAATGTAACATACATTTCCCTTTTGTTGATAGACTGCCGGAATGTAACATACATTTCCCTTTTGTGGATAGACTGCCGGAATGTGACATACATTTCCATTTTGTGGATAGACTGCCGGAATGTAACATACATTTCCCTTTTGTGGATAGACTGCCGGAATGTGACATACATTTCCATTTTGTGGATAGACTGCCGGAATGTAACATACATTTCCCTTTTGTGGATAGACTGCCGGAATGTGACATACATTTCCATTTTGTGGATAGACTGCCGGAATGTAACATACATTTCCCTTTTGTGGATAGACTGCCGGAATGTGACATACATTTCCATTTTGTGGATAGACTGCCGGAATGTAACATACATTTCCCTTTTGTGGATAGACTGCCGGAATGTGACATACATTTCCATTTTGTGGATAGACTGCCGGAATGTAACATACATTTCCCTTTTGTGGATAGACTGCCGGAATGTTTCATGCATATACTACTTTACTTTTACATAAACGTTTGTGTTGGTATGTTATTTTTCTACTTCATACATCTTCTTTTGTTTGACGGACAATTTGAAATTAACAAACATTTCCTTTGGCAAATTGACTACTTGACTTTTTTGAACGCCTCCTTTTTTGGCATACTGGTTTGTTAGATAAATCGTCCATTTTTAATAGCATATCTCTTTTTTTCATTTTCTTGTTAAATGGACTTTTCAAAGCTTAAACAATCACAAACCATATAAAGGCAGCTACACCATATAATAGGAATCAGCAAATAATGATTTAAAAAATATTTTTAAGTCCTTAATAATCAATAATCAAAATATTTAAATGATAAGCATATTATTTGAACTTCCTGGTAGTCAATGCGAACCTGACAATGGATGTTTACTCAATACATTATTATTATTATTATTATTATTATTATTATATATAACATCTGATCAGTATATTTTTTTAACACGCTGCTCACCCAGAATCAAACAAGCGTCATGGTTCTTAAGTATCGAGTATAACTGACATGTGAATCAGTAAACTCTTAACCAAAACATATATGTAAAACCCCCATAAATTAACATAACGTGGTCTGTACACGACAATCGTTTTCAAATTGACTGTCTATGTTTATGTGGCTATTTCGATAAACTCAAACACGGGTCTTGTCGGTCTTAAGTGTTGTTTGACATGTCAAAGATTAACGATCAATAGTACAAAGCATACTTGTCGCCATGCTTATTATTACATAATTGGTACACCCTCCTTAGCCTGACTGCTAACGCCAGTGTACCCAATGTATCCAGCTGAATATTAATTTATTATATACCGTAGTAATTTCATTTTTCATAAACAAATACCGTCAACATTTTTTTCTCTGTTACCAGTGGATAGCTCAGCAAAGAGGTTCTTTAAAGAGAACGTAAAATGTTATCAGGATAACGTAGGTTCTTGAACAGGCGTATCTGCACCCTGAAAGGGACACTTTGGTAGTTTATTAATACTGAGGGTTTAATGATCACAATTAGCAGAAAGAAGCTTCTGAATTGATTTCGTCTTCAAACTACATCGGATTTGAAAAAATGTTTCCTCAAAATTATATTCAAATAAAAAGCCTGGCACGTAAAAGAAATTCTTAATTCTAAACTTTAACTGTCTTTGCAACAAAAACAAGCAATAAATAAAGCCGATATATAGTGTAATCGATATAAAGTTTCATGTAGTGAAAACTATTTCCCACCAGTGTCACATTTTGGGTACTCTCCCTTTTTTAATTTATTCCATAAATGTTGATCGTTTGTTTACAGATGGCTCATTTCTTTGGAGATTGTTCACATGCTTACCGAGGTTTATATTTGGTTACGGATTAAGTCCTGCCGCTCAATTCAACGAGTGGCTTGGTGATAAGCTACGCAATAAAACTGGCAGTGCTGATGTCACTTTCGAGCAGGTATACAGTTTATTTTAATTGAATATCACAACCTGTAAAACCACTGTTGTTTTGTTGTGTATCGAAAGCCTATATACATTTTTGTAAGTGTTTGTGTGGTTAATAATAATAATAATACTGGACGCAGGCGTGCCTATATATCGAGATCACAAAGTTTAACATCAGTTTATATGATGATGTCCCGAATATGAATAAATTCATTGTTATCTATCTCGTGGTTTAAAAAGCATGCAGGTTGTCCCAAGTGTTGATCCAATCGGGATTCAAATGTTTTGACTGTTGGTGACGTAACCACGGCATCTGGAAGGGAGTTCAAATGATTAACAATACGCTCACTGAAAGAATATTTAAGTCAAGTTTAGTCTATTCCTTCGTTTTATTAGTGTCATTCTTTTGTTACTTTTTGGAATTAAAAACCCTTCTGTGACAACTCGATCATATCCTCCATGTGTTAATTTATATACTTGGATCATATCTCCTCTCAACCTTCTATGTTGGGGGTTTTTGTAAACCCGTCTCGTTTACATACATTATTTTACAAAGGTGTCAGTCCCTTTCATTTAATATTTGCTCGCTTTTAAACAAATAGTCCCTCTAATTCTATCTGATTCTCTTTACAAATTTTCCTTTGTGAATGTTTTAATACAATGATATTTAGTTATACATGTTTATCAGACAAACTTGATGATTATCTTAAAGTTGACCTCCTTGTTCACACTTCATCATTCTGATATTCGGGTCTTTGGCCTTGCACGAAGGCACATTCATGGACGTGCTTAAACATTTCAAATTAACATTCGGTTATAGCTTATTTGATTGTATAAGATAGCTTTTAAATCGAAAGGCTTTACTACGACCATGTTCAGTTGTGTGTTTGATATTCTCCATTATGATAGTTTTGTGATTTTTTGGGGATTATTTATTTTGCTTCAAAATACTCTAATAATGATAGAAGTAACTTTATGTATAAAGTATACATGTTCTTCGTCATCTGCTTTAGCTTTACGACAGGACCGGTAAAGAACTTTGCGTTGTTGTCACTAACGTCAACAACATGTCTGAGGAGTATTGCCATCCTAAAACCACACCAGATATGCCCGTTAGACTCGCTGTACGCATGTCCATGTCAATTCCAGGTATTGATTCACATTATCACAAAATAGTCAATACTTCTGAATATCTGAATAATGTTTTGATATTTTGGTATAAAGGGTCGAACAAATGTTGTTATTCTAATTGCGTAATTTTGTGTTATTTAAGACTAATTTTGTTTATACAATACATGCTGATATTGCTATGACTAACATATACTACTGTATACCGTGACACTCTCGTTCGGTGAACGCCCGTACAGATATTATTTCTAATCAACCGGTGTAAATTTTTTCCCTTCACAATGGAACAAATGTAATGTATGATGCATAGTAGCACTAGCCATAGAAAAGGATAATGTATAAAGGCCTGGTGAAATTCGGTTGATCATTTTTGCCGTGATTAGGTGACAGTTTTTCACACTTAAATGAATTGCCTTGATATTATTCTACAGGCATGTTCCAAGTCGTAAAGTACAACCACAATGCACGTGCATCATCCAACATGTATGTTGACGGAGGAATTCTGTGTAACTTCCCAATCCACTGCTTCGATGGTAAGTAACAATACCGATCTATATCGACCATGATGTAAAACAAAATCAATTGTTCACACGAGTTCTATATGTTTAAAAACTTAGCAGGTGTCTAACATCTTAATGTAATAAAAACGTATAAAATGTATCAAACAAGTAACAAACTAGATACAAAACGAAAACAAAAGATTGTGAGGACACACCAAAACAAAACAGATACCAACATTAATGTCTACCAGATCGTAGGCGTCACTATGTGCCCCAAAAGGTTAAATATTTTCTGCAACACATTTGGTCAAAATGCCGTTTTAATTGATGACCATTGAGGCAGGTCTTTGTGGGCTGGAGAATACTCAAAATTATGCATTAGCTCGTTTTATTTTACGTAGTAAGAATATCACATTGACAATATGTACCATCATAAATAAACCCATATTTATCTACAGGTTGGTGGCTGTCTATGAAGCCAAAGGATGCTTTTATCCGCAGATTATATAATCTTAAGGAACTTCCTATTGTCATGAGTAAAACACACAGATTTGGGGAACGGTCGGACAAAACCCTTGGGTTTCTTGTGGTAAGCATGGCGTTATTATAACATTTAGAAATAACTGTTAATAAAGTAGCCTTTGAATTACCTACCATAGGAATAGTAATTTATTTTTGGCACATGAAAACATTTAACATTAGGTCACACGCTGTTCTAAATTGGTCGGTTATCCATCGACAACTTAACGCTATTCAATAATAACCAGCTGGTTCATGTATCACATCTAACGTAATTTCAACAATCAAAGAAAATATGTCTTTACAGCGTGTCATTGATCTCATTTTATATTTAAGTATTCAGAAGCTGAAGCTGACAACTTCAAGTTCTATCTGGAGAAGCGATCGCCAGTACTTGCTCGGTCTAACTCTTCACTTAACAGGTAAGATCCATGTAAAATTGCTTTCGTATGTAGATTTTATGTCAGTTATAAGTTATTCAGAACTCGAAATGTATTCATAGAACCATCTTCTCTTCTGTGTGTAAATGTTGTTGCATAGCATATTGGTAGAAATGACAGATAAAATCTTCATTAGAGCAAATTCGTGTTTTTGTGTACGATTCATTCATAATCTTTCCAGCTCACATTAATGAATATTAACAGATACTATGAGAACATTATCAGTGTAGGTTTGTAGATAAATAAGCACTTATTTAATCTGAAACAACAAATTTTCGTTTGAATATAATGTATCAAATTATACATTTTGATTTTCGGTTTTAAGGGTAAACTATTATATACATATTACAACAAATTAATGATAACTTTGAAAGTTATTAATCTTTATGTATTATTTTAATGGTAGTAAAATCCAAATGTTACGTTAAATAGGAGGCGAAAAACACAATTTCTTGAGCAGGCCAGGGAACGAAAACGTATCGCTGATGCTGTCAATCGCTTCCTTCCGGTAGGATATGATACTGATATTATATTTCAATTATAAGAGCTACATGTATAAAGAACATATGTTTGAGTTTTTCAGATTAAATGCATAAACAGTTCCTTCATGAATGTTGCTAGTTCAATCACGCGACACCTGCTGGATACTTTTAATTAATTTCACACTGCGAAATAATCACTGAATAATGATGTCAAAGTAATTATTGAATTATCATAACTATCTGCATTTTTTTAATTATTAAGCTTGTAGATGAATATGACAAAAACCACGACGGAAAGGTCAATTACCAAGAATTTCAGCAGGTCTACGTAAGTAGATATACAGGTCCATGTTTAAGATTTAATTTTCCTGAAACCAATAAGGCTTGTAACGTTTGTATGTACATTGTAGACGTATGCTATTTGATTTATTTGGTGATTCACTATCAGCAATGTTCACTTGGTAGTCGATTTATTTTGTTAGCATTCGTCATTGTATTACAAACTGCACTGTTGAATAGAAGGCAATTTGACATAAGTGAAAACTTACTTATATGAACAGGATCACTTTCCTGACGAGGACAAGCACATTCTGTTTGGTAACCATGCTGGGTCAAAGGCTTTGTTTGAAACGCTAGATGAAAACAGTGATGGACAGGTAGTATTTTTATTTATATTTTTTTAATTATTCATCAGTTTGTCTATTGTGTCCATGACATGAGTAACTTCCATCTTCTTCAAAGGCATTTTACAACTCTCCTTATACCATATATATCATTGATTGTTCACCAGTTTGCTCTGTATTAGAGCGTCGGTGACCTACTTTATTTTCGCGGATGTGATTAGAAGACTCTTATAACAGGTTTAGCATGAGGTTGTAAACTCAAACCTGCTTATAACAGTTATGAAATCTGAAAAAATAAATCCATCTGTTTTACTGCGATAGACAAATGCCTTTTTAGTATTACCGAAAGTGAAATTAACAAGATTGTTTGTCACAGGAGAAATTTCAACGCACTTTTGCTGAAAACAAGAAGCATAATGACAGATAGCAAATGTTGAATACACATGTACATTTTAGATTACCTTCAGCCTCATCCATAACAATGGTTTGCCTTCTGTTTTTGTTTTTGTTTTTGTTGAGCTTTCAGTTTGTTGTTTTGTCAGTTTCTATTGTTTTCTTTTGTGCATGAACTCTGTGGTATACCATTCTTTGCTTTTTCTAGTTTACGTATTATCATAGTGTGGTTAATGATCCAACATGTTGATTACTCTAAGTGAAGAGTTACAATCAAATATGATTATTTGACCACCTGTATTTAAATGTCATTTGCACTAAGAGACCGTTTTTAATGTTCCGCTTTGAAGTATTTTTTTTATTGTGAACAGAACCTGTATTTAGAGACCACTGTGTTGTGAAATATTTTGAACATCCCGTGGATGGTTCCTTAATAAAACTTTGGCTGTATTATATTCATAAGTACATGCTCAAGTGTTTTTCAAAATTAATTATAAAAATATTATGCTATCCTAGTGATATTTGTAATGTTATTTATCTTAAACCAACATCAAAAGAGATAGTATTGTCAAAGCTTACCTTTAAAGATTACATGACTCTTCAAATAAGCCTTTTGTTGAAACTGGCTTTATCAACCAAGTGCCGTAAGCCAGCGGGAAGTAAGAGATGATAGATTATTTCAGCAATAACCCTTTGCCTTGTCAGAAGTCCTGAAACTCGGAAAAGACACCAATATGTTGCTGATGTGCTTATTAATTAATTAGTGTCCCGCATCGGAGATGATCTCCGAATACAAAAGAGTATTTTTTAAAATTCCACACGGTAATACACTGTGATATGTCGATGAGCCATTGGGGTTTAAACTTTCTAAGTTCAAGATCAACGTCAAAGTCAGCATTACTAGAATATAGCGGGGGATTCGCGAAGGGGTTTACAAGTTTTTAAGGTCAGGTCACCTTTGCTAAAACATAGCAGGGCGAGACACATGGCGCGACCGAAGTCGACCTGCAAAGTGTCTATTTTTTCAAACAGTATTGTTCAGTAGTGAAAAAACAAAACGCCAACATGCACACACCTTTATTTTTATGATTTTTCGATTGACATAATGATCGAAAGAAATGCATTATGTGCCGTTTTTTCCATCAGATGCTTTGGTCTGATTGCATTGCTGCGGAATGGACTGTTTATAAAGTGGTAAATCATGACGTGTTAGTAAATGTAATCAATAACCCCCCCCCCCCCATATATCTAGTTCAGCTGTGCTGATATTTAGACGAATGTATTTAACGTGATTAAACCCACTCAGTTAAACTTATAAATATATCATCACTACAACCAACTCTTAAATGTTACTAGGTGAGGTTCCAGGAAATAATGCGCTACGTAGAGCGGAAAGGACTGGATGTGAACCAGAAATACCTGGGATACAAACGACAGGATGTTACAAGCCTTACATCCTACGCCCTTACTGTATTTGATACCATGCTCCTAAACCTCAAACGACTGTACATGGAGGTACTTTGTTTCCTTTTCAAACATTTTGTAAATGTTTTCCCCCCTCTCATTTTTGACTGAAAAGTATGTGGCGGTACAATTGCTATTTCAAAACAGAAGATGCTGTGTAATTCCTTTGAATTGTATTGTTGTTTTGGACCGAAGCATGTTCGAGGAACTAGTGTAAGAGAGTGAACCTAATTACCCATATCTTTTTTTACGTTTTATAACAGCATGATGACCTTGAGCGTTCTGTTGGTATAAATACGGGGCATATTGAAACAGCAGACTTCGACCTTGAGGATGAGGACATTGCTTTCATGCTGGAGGTACGTGTCCTTCAATACAATTATATACACTTTATATAACAACGTTACACTTATTCTAATAGAAATGTTTTTAAATTATTCACGTTTTATATATTCCTTCCTACGTTTGATAAAATCTTATGTGATGAAAAGTGTTCGAATACAAAAACAACACAGGGTTTTGAGAGACAATGGAAATTCTTAAGGTCGCCATCGTGATAGCATTGGTATACATTTTATATCCTTGTCTGATAAAATACCAATGTTCTTGATTGTGTCCATCAATTTGCCTTGTTTCCTCGTTGTCATCAAACGTTCTGCTTTACTGTCGGTTATACAAATGTGCTACGGTTCCCGCTTTGAGAAAGGATTTATTTTGATGACTGGACCTATATTTTTGTAGTTGGTGTCGTCGATGAAGCAAAAAGACGCCTCCCTTTATGGAACGCCTTATATTTATTCTTTGTTAATATTTTCTTTGTTCGTTTTTCGCCCTACATTTAACGATGCTGTGTTAAAACACATGGCGATCCGATTTTCCCTTGCTGCTTTTAAATTTTTTATTCCTTTAACAGGAGGGACATATTTAATATATATGTAAAAAATGTAACCATGTCCATAACATATTATTAAATTTTATTACAACAGCATAACAAAATATTATTTCAAAAGTAAAAAAAACCTGTCCTTGATGTCAATTATGTTCAATTAAATGTATGACATATCGTCAAGGATAACTGACAAAGATTGGAGGACTTACTTACAATGAGGATATTTATACTTTAATGTATATCACTTGTATGTTATTCATAGCGTCATATACTCACATTAAATGTGTTTGAATCTTGATGTTAATACTGTTTGATGAATACAGCGTGAATACATTTTTCGTATTTCAGCAAGGAAAAAACACTACAATTGATTTCCTTAAAATGTATGCGGCGAAGAGGAATGCGAAGTTGGCTGAATCCTCTGGAGAAAGAAACTAGAGCTCGTGAATTCGTCATATGATTACTCAGTCCAATCAGGTGACAGACATTACATTGGACACGGAGCCACGACACTGTAAATTAACGATAAATATTGTACATAAAACAAAAATGGGTAAAATCCTGTTTCTAAACAATAGTTGGTACTAAACAATAGTTGGTAAGTATGGATTGTTAAAAGATTCATGTAGCACAACCAAAAAGTGTTTACATGTGACGTTTCGATGACTAGTCAAAATGTACTCTGTTAAATTCATTAGACAATAAAACAAAGCGTAGCTGAATCGAGTCATTTCGGTGCATATATAACAACTACATTTAATTCCACAGCGTAGCCGAATCGACATCGATTTGTGGACAACTCATACATAATATCCAAGTTTGAGTACATACGTTTCATTTGTCATTTGTCTGATGAAAGTGACAGAGTAGATACCGTACAAGTCATTGAAACGTCACATATGAACACCTTTTTGTTGTGCTACATGAGTCTTTTCACAATCGGTAAAATCCTATGTACAGTATTAGTTTGTTACGAAAAAAATCAGTAACACGTGTTAATGTCTCTTCCCTAGACATGTTTACCCCGCGAGGTTGTTTTAAGGGGTACTAGCTCAGAGCTACTTGGCTAAGACGTATAAGGGTTGTTTGGTTTCTTCTTGATCCTCATTTTTATGTAAATGTTGTGGACGGAACTGTGGTAGGTAACTACTGGTGACTGTAGAGTAGAGCGATCATCACTAATTCGAAAATTCAGGGTCCAAATTCCAGACTTGTCATTTTTTCACTTACATATTTACAATCCTGCTCCATATTGTAAAACATAATTGTTGTTTTTATTGATTTTCATATTTTTTATAATTAATTTCAACCCTGGAATATTCCGCAACTGGGTTCTTGTCGGATACTTAACGCTATAATAGTCAGGCTTAACAAAAATCTCGCCAGTGCATAGATATTTATCTTGGCAGTGGTGCAGTGATCTTGAACCATTCTCTTTCAAAGCGATTATAATTTGGGCAAACGTAGGACGACCATATCATAAACTGGTTTAAGAATATTGAATATTCCTTTTAATCTGGTGTAAATCGTTTATACTCAATGGGACATTTCAAAAATTGTATTTTAAGTAAATTGCATCATTTTTTTTACCGTTAATTAATATATTTTGATTGGCTCGGTATTGTTATACTTTTGAATGTTTATGTTAAACTCCTATTGGAATGGTGCTCGGTCTTATTTGACATGACATATGATTGTGTTATCACAACCAATATTTTATTACAGCAAATATTTTGCGTTATCATAGTATTTATGTCCTTGTTTCTTACATTTATCCAAGTGACAGATCCCCTTTTTTCTGTCCGTTTCTTTCGATATCATAGCACAGTCATGAAAAGCTAAATGTTGTTTTGATTAATCAACCCTCATGAAGAAAAAGTCAGTTCAAATTAATTTCAATATTATTCAATTATGTTCTACTGTTTAGTCATTCCAATGTTACATTTTATTACCATAAAGGTCTTGAAACACGTAACGCACCATTATTACTATACCAGTATTGTTATATTTGATCATGATACTAATTTTTTCCTTAATTTATTCATTATTGTAACTTGTTATTTGCAGCAAATGCTGTAGAAGCCTAACATATCGCTGGGGTTTAGTGTTGTGTTTCTTATAAAAACTATCGTTGGGGTAATATTTTGTGGAAGTGTCGTTTCTAAACAAATCGTTTTGTTTCTATGCGAGTTCAATGTCTTTGTTATTTGTAAAAACAGCCCGGCGTTTAACAATCAAAACTTAACAAGAATACAATTTTCAATTATTGATGATCCTTACTAATAAAAACATATAGTTACGAAAAATACAACTTAAATGCCTCGAGGCTAACCATCATCAACTCACACTTGTTATTTCATTTGTGTATCTGCTTGTTTTGACACAAGTGAGGTTTCACATTTTTTTTCGTTTTGTTTTGTTCTGTGGATTGTCCTTTCTTCTTCACTTCTTTTCCAATGTACCAGTAAAATAACAATAGCTTACAGCCGATGTGCTTTATGCATAATTTGAAACTGTTTTATCCTCATATCTTTGTAGCATTTTATCCATCTGTCCTCATTAATATGTGTCCATGTCAACTGTGGCGTACAGTCCTTAAGAGGAGTGGAAGTAGTATAAGCTCTCAGTATATTTTTCAATTTTCTTTACACTAGATGTATGTTTTGTAGCATGTTTAAATTGCAAAAAAAGGAAATAAGATAATGTTTAATATGCCCAGCACTCTAACTTCATAATTACAATGTTTCATATTAAGGAACTTTTGAAGTCGATTTTACTGTGGTTAACTTTCAAAGACACACGAAAAATAAGACAACGCATCATACGAACAACTAACCCACAAATAGGTGGTAATCGACCTTTTGATAAGGCTATACGAGTTGCTTCCCTTTAATTTCCAGTTTGCTGTGGTCGATGTCGGTAGTAAGACACAAAAATGTAGTTTTTTTGTGGTCTACTTTACATTTATCACAATTTAAGAAAAGAAAAGTCGTTTTATTACTATGACACCATAACGAACTTAACTGTTGTGTCTACGTAATGATGTGAGTAGTACCTCATTTCCCTTGTTTGAGTAAGAAGATAAAATAGGATAACGGTTGGTCATTTTTAATGGTATATAATGGTACGATAGCATGTGTGTGTAACGTTCGTCTAGTACAAAACGCTAAAACAGTTAAAACCAACCACCATTTCGGTATTGAATAATCATATACTGTATACGAGAAAAAGGTTTCATAAAACTCAGTTCAGTTGGGTTCAATTATGAATTATGAGTCTCGTGTGTTAAGCATTAAGTATTCAAATAACTTCCTGTAAGGTATGTGTTGTCCCTGTATATAAATAGATGCTACTCCGTTATGGCCTTCAAAACCTCATCCAGGAACTGATGTCATTATGTGCTAGAATCTGGTGATATCAAACCTAAGTGCTAGGTTAAACGTAAAACGCTAACCAACAAAAAACATGATGCTACTTGAATCAATACCTTTGAAATATTCACACGGAATTGCAGCACCTTTTCACAGCAAAAATCAATACGTGTTCATGACACATGCCCATATATGGACTGTAGCTTTATTGTCTATTACAGTGTTCAGGTATAGTTCAGCTTAATAATTGAATGCAAATGTTATACAAGTCGCTATCTCATTTGTTTTCATTTATGAAGTACTAGTAATTAAAATTAAATTTGTTTTTTTCAATTAAGCTAGCTCCAACCTTTAGTTATAGCCATTTTAGATAATAATTCCTGATTTTAATTATGTTTATTTAAAAATCTGAAAGTAATTCATATTTTGTGCCAGATCAGCAATCGCACTTCCAAAAAAAATAAAAAAAATCCCTAGGGCGGAGACAGATAAATCTAGCACCGGCAAAACGGGAGATAAATCTGTCAGGTGTGGGAGAAAGATAAATCTAGCACCGGCAAAACGGGAGATAAATCTGTCAGGTGTGGGAGAATTCCTTGTCTCACCCTAGGGTTGAGACGGGGGGATTCCCCTATTCATAACAATGGCATGAATATCAATTCAACAATACAATGACGTCACGTCAACAATCCATCAACGACACGTCAACTTTATTTCACATTAAAATACTGTTAGATATGGGAGAAAAATAATCACTCGCTACCGATTGTGTAAGAAAGGGAAATCTCAACCCTCGGACTAAGATTTTTTGTAGACGAACGCTTCTGAAACTTAGACAAAAGCCTCTGAAACATAGACAAAAACCTCCAAAATGAAGAAGAAAATCTTCCTTACGTCGGCGAAAAAAATAAGATAAAAAACTCTAAACATAGAACGAAAACTATCCCAACATATTCGAAACTTTCTCTGTTATAAACTACGTAGTTACCGGTCAACAGGAACATCAGCATATATATATATATATAGATAATTAGAACAGGCTATGAAGTACTTCATGCAGAGTTAATTAATAAAGGAAGCTGGATAAGGTTGAGGAAAGGAAAGACCATACTCGTGAAATAAAAGACGTTTGGTAGTTTTTGATCATAACTATCTTTTTCAGTTCGGGATGAAATTGATCATTACGTTTATTCATTTAAATGAAAGACAGTTATCGAATATTGACCCTCAGTCACGTCACGTTCCTCTGATAAAAGAGTTGGGTAGAAATAACGACGATTCATAACAACGCCGTAAAGATGACCGGGGTACATGCCAACGCCATAAAGATGACTGGGGTACATAACAACGCCGTAAAGATGACCGGGGTACATGACAACGCCATAAAGATGACTGGGGTACATAACAACACCGTAAAGATGACTGGGGTACATAACAACGCCGTAAAGATGACTTGGGTACATATCAACACTGTATAGGTGACCGGGTACATAAAAACGCCGTGAAGATGACCGGGGTACATAACAACGTCGTAAATATGACTTGGGTACATAACAACACCGTAAGAATGACCAGGTACATAACACCACCGTAAAGATGACCGGGGTACATAACAACAACGTAAAGATGACTGGGGTACATCAGAACGCAAAAACGATCACCGGGGTACATAACAACACCGTACAGATGACAGGGGTACATACAAACGAGGTAAAGATGACCGGGGTACATCAGAACGTCAAAACGTTGACCGGGGTACATGACAACACCGTACAGATGACCGGGGTACACATAACAACGCCGTAAAGATGACCGGGGTGCATGACAACATCATACAGATGACCGGGGTACTTGACAACACCGTACAGATGACCGTGATATACAGCAACGCGAAAAAGATGACTGGGGTACATAACAACGCCGCAACGATGACCGGGGTACATGACAACACCGTACAGATGATCGGGGTATGTACAAACGAGATAAAGATGACCGGGGTACATCAAAACGCCAAAACGATGACCGGGGTACATAACAACACCGTATAGATGACAGGGGTACGTACAA